AAAACTGAAAGTTATCAAATACATAAAACATTAACTTAAAACAAATAATACATCTAAAACTCTAAACTTACAGCAATGATAAAAACTAATTATCGCAGTTATAGCGGCGCGCACAACTTATAGGTTAAAACAGTCTAAAACCAGTTACAAACGAATCGACGGATGAGTGACAAACAAAGAAAACAAACTTTGCCGTGTAAAGATGTGAAGTGGGAGAATCAAAAACCAAACTACATAAACTTTGAAAACAATCTATTACCACTGAAAGCCGTAAATTCATTTAAAACAGATTCAGTGTCGGATTCTAGATGTGATTTAATATAATATTCTTCATATAAATCCATTCTTTTAGATTTATTGATATGTTTCAGCAACGTTATATTGTTAATGTCAATTTCATGATTACTCTCCTTTATGTGTTTATAAATTGTGGATTCTGTTCTTTTCAGGTGTTCTTTAAACCTCACATCCAAACTCCGCCCCGTCTGTCCTATTTACACTTTGTTGTCGATGGACTCACCCACATGTATGATTAGGATTTCTATGATTATAACAACATTGTTCGATTAACTGACGGTAAGATTCAGTGTTCTTAGATTTAAGTTACATTTGTTAATGTTGCCCGCCGATTTACTAGTCTTTTATTGTTTTATTTCTACTACTTTGTAGTCGCACCTGAAGACGCTTAATAAGCGAAACATATGTCGTGCTGATTGAAAAATTAAATAAATTTTACTCGTTGTGGTCTTCTAGAGTTTTTTTTACATTAATTGTTACCACAATGTCCCTGGAGACTATTATTGGAAAGTTAGAAAGCTCCCGTCAAAAAAAAAAAAGAACGTGAGGAACTAGATATAAAATTTAGACACCTATATTTGGCTTATTGACAGAAAATCAACGCTATCACTAAGAAACAAGTTGTTAATATACAAGCAAGTATTAAAACCAAAATGGACATACGGAATCCAACCTGCAAGACAAATGCAAGTCTGCATTCGGCATAGGTGCATAGTGAATGCACTCTGGTATATAAGAACTCCGAACTCCATCGCAACTTGAAAGTAGCATCGGTGTCATCAGAAATTGCATCATTCGCATCTAAACAGGAGAAGAGAATGCACAATAATCCCAACATCGAGGCCATGCAGCTTCTCGACAACGAAGATGTCCTGCGTCGCCATCAGAGGATGAAGCCGTTCGATTTAGTGACCTAGTGCCCTAGTCGATTCAAACGCGAGCAATAGTGCGGAATTATAACAAAAACAATAATACCCTAAACGTGTGTTCCGCGTATCGCAGTGTTTTGGTCTTAATGGTCTTAAAATGGCGGTTTGACAGCTTGTCACTGCATCTTACCACTTATTTACAAAAATATTGCCGTCTTGTTGCCTTTGGAGTTGCAAAAATGGCAGTAAGAAGGACTTTCGACTCTTCAGAATACCACAAGAAAAAATGAAAGGAAATTTGGCGTAATGTTTTGGTTTGTAGTTTTAAATTTCCCGCTTGACTTTCGAGCCAAAAAGGCGTCAAACCGCGGTACTTTGTAAATCTAGGGACTTTAAAATAAAATATTTAACGTTGTAATAATAATTTTTTATTACAAATAAAAGTAATAAAAGAAATTAGCGGAACGAAAAAAATCAAATGTCTGGAATATAGCCAATAACTTCGCCATTTGTAGTTTCAAAGAAAAATGTTTCAAATACAAGTTTCTTTATTAATCATGGCGCATTTTTTGGCGATATTAGCTTGTTTATATTGTTTTTTGTTTCGTTGTTTGTTTCGTATAAGAAAAAAATCGAGAAAAAATGCGTTTTTTTAAAGTCTTAAATCAGCTAATTACAATCAAAGTAGGCGCCGAAATAACGCCGTTGACAGCTTTAAATGTCAAAAAAATTTCAGTTTCAACAATTTTTCAGCATTTTTTCTCGATTTTTATCTAATACAACCATATGATTTGATATGTTCATCGCGTAGAGGGATGTATCCTGTATTCGAATGTGCAAAAAAAAAGCATCCCAATTAAAATAACAATGTTGGTTGCCATAGCAACGAAACAAAAAACAATATAAACAAGCAAGTATTGCCAAAAAATGCGCCACAACTAATAAAGAATTTTTTATTTGAAACATTTTTCTTTAAAACCACAAAAGGCGAAGTTATTGGCTATATTCCAGACATTTGACACACACTGTATAAAGTGATATATGTTTAACCAGCGAGCCATTGTAACACTGATTTTAGAACGGTTATTACCCTACATTTAGTAATAATTAATAATAATAGTTTAATAATAAGTTTTTTACAGTATCTTATTTGCGTATACAATATATTGTATTATATAATTTTTATAGTAGAATGATAACAATTTTGACATGTCATCTCGCCACAATTTCTCATCGCATCTTTAACGTTGATGTACAGGCTGGTTCAAATTCGATGTCCGAATAGGCTAACTCGAAAACTATAAGAGTTAGAAGAAAAGTAGCTGACATGTCATGATCTCGTTTTTCGAGAAACTGCTAATGCCGAAAACCTCATAGCGCTATCGTCTTTTGTTTTTCCGCTAGAGGCCAAAATTGAAAATATCGTAAAACCCGCAAATGTAATTATCTTGGTTATTATTATAGGTGGAGTATTATAACTAAGACATTATATGGACACTTTTTTACAGAGAATTTGATGACGTAGTCAAAAAAATTTTGTCGGTTTTAGATTTTGAGATATTATCACAATTTTCGTTTTTTTAAATGGAAACAACCACTGATTATTCGCTTAATAAATTCGTTATTTTTTTCTGATTACAAAAATATAGGGTTTGACAGGTCTATTTCTTATTGTTTTAGAATAAAACTAAAAATAAACTTTTCTTTTAGTGTCGTCGAAGAAATTAAATTTACAGTTTCCTGTAAATTACGGTTCTATAACTAAAAATTAAAAAAACATATTTCTGATATTTGAAACAAATATATTTGTTGAACTGTTTAATTTATATATGTTTTACACAAAAGTTGGAATAGATTGCATTATTTCACATTTTTTATTACGATTTAATATTATTTTTAAATGACTTAATAAATTATCGATAGATGGCGCTCATATGTTTTTTTTTTTATTCAAATAAACATAGCAACATTTGTTTGTATTCAAAAATTTTCTGAAGTGTCACTTTAAAAATCCTGTTTTTAAGATCAATTACGAAAATTTTGAAAAGTTTGACATGTTAGAATGTTACATATTAAAAAATTATTTGTTTTTAAATACCAGAAGTTATCTTCGTATTTAATTGTTAACTTTTTAGATTTTACCTACCGCCCCGTAACTTACAGGAAACTGTAAATTTAATTTCCTCGACGACACTAGATGGAAATTTTATAAAAAAAGTTTATTTTTAGCTTTATTCTAAAACAATAAGAAATAGACCTGTCGAACCCTATATTTTTGTAATCAGAAAAAAATAACGAATTTAATAAGCGAATAATCAGTGGTTGTTTCCATTTAAAAAAACGAAAATTCTCATGATATCTCAAAATCTAAAACCGAAAAATTTTTTTTGACTATGTCATGAAATTCTCTGTAAAAAAGTGTCCATATAATGTCGTAGTTATAATACTCCACCTATAATAATAACCAAGATAATTGCACTTATTGGTTTTACGATATTTTCAATTTTGGCCTCTAGGGGAAAAACAAAAGACGATAGCGCTATGAGGTTTTCGGCATTAGCAGTTTCTCGAAAAACGAGATCATGACATGTAAGCTACTTTTTTTCTAACTCTTATAGTTTCCGAGTTAGCCTATTCGGACATCGAATTTGAACCACCCTGCACGATGAAATAACAGCGATCCTTTTTACAAACATTTAATTGACCCTGTATCTAATGTAGAGTGCGGAAAATCGCGGTTTAGTAGGATGCGGTTATTTCGAAAACGACATGGCGAATTTCAACGCGGTTGAAACAGAAATAAGCTATGCGGGGAGAGGAGGGTTCCGTCCAATCGCAACAGACAGTGCGTCCCAGACAGTACGTCGCGCCTTTATCTTACCTACATAAAGAAATAAGGCGCGACGTCCTGTCTGGGACGCATCATCTGTTCCGATAGGACGGAACCCCCGTCATCCCGCAGAGCTTATTTCTGTTACTCTTTAATTTATAATTCCATTAAATCGCTCTTAAAAAATTAGGGAGCTTTAATTTTGAAAAATTGATAACGGAATCCAACAACCAACATTATTTGATATATTTTGGTCAAATCCACGGGGAAATCCACACAGCCCTTTTCGACGTAATGGCGTCTTACTAAACCGCGATTTTCCGCGAAACTTTACGAAATATCGAAAAAATAAAATATGCTACTTATTAAGTACACATCAGGCTACCACCAGTTCAAAATTCAAATTTTTTCGTACGATAGTTTTCGAGAAAACAATCGAAAAGCTGATAAAGTTGCCGGTACCGTAAAAAAATCGGGTACTTTTTTCATTTAACTCGCGATAAAAAGAAAACCGTGGATCCGAAAATTTTTAAATATTTACGTAGAAATGTTCAGTGATTACAACAAACTTTGTCGCAATTTTTTTTATCGAGCGGTTGCGAAGATATCTATCTCAAAGTGAGGGGCCTTGACTTTTTGTACGGATAGTAGTAGCGGGAAGAATAGCTTCCAAATGCGAATTTTGTTTATTTCCTCAAATCTGGCTTGGCGCGACATCTGTGAACGACAAGATCCCGAGTCAAACCGATCTCGAGTTTTAGAGGTCATCTCACGAACGTTCAACGTTTCACGCGGCCTTAAAACGGTAAAAATATGACAATATTTATCTATATTAAACAGTCTGGACCACTGGGAAAAGCTGCAAAACATTATCTATGTATTTAAGTCTATCAAATTGATTATCCGTGAATAATGATTATTAACCGCTATTATTCTAGTCATTGGTAGTCGTGGACAAAAATAATTAATCAATATTTAACCAAAAAATTATTGTATAATCAAACCTTTATAAGTAGCCACCGATTTCATCAACGTTAAAGGAATATCCGGTGACCCACAAACCATCGTTTCCAATTCATACGCACTAAACAACGATAAAAGTGGTACAGGAACAACCTTCGACATTCCATCACGAACGGCGCGAACTTGCTCATCAAATTCCCGCAATCGAAATTGCAGCGCTAATTTTACATACTCCAATCGATTCTCGTGCGTGATCCTTTTATAACGATTACTTAACGGGACATCAATTCCACATGCAGACGGCGTCGAAAACGGCATCTCCAAATTTTGAAACAATCTTTCATCAGCCGTCATATCTCTAATACAGAGTAAACCAGGCACGTAATCGCGGTCGACTTCCGTTAAATCGCCCGGTGTCAAATCCATCCCAGATAATTGCTTCCAGACGGCTTCCGCTAAATTTAAACTAAGGGGTGAACCAGTTCGGATTGCAATTCCCATTAGAACGCCTAAGAATCGGAACATATTTAAGTGGAGGCAGGATTTTGAAGATGGATTTAAAAGGTAGCAATCTCGGTTTGTTCCAGCTTCATCTCGTCCATTAGGGGTTGGGATTAATAGGGGAAGGGAGCCGTTTTGGAGCTCGTCGCACATTTCAGCGATGCTTTCGCTATAACCACCACCACAATCATCCACACTTTCACCTAGATTCAAAAAAAAATTTATCAATATCCGAATTAATTAATAGAACATTTTGTTATTAATTTACCAACAAATTTAACTTTCCATACTCGATGCGGCAACGATAAAGCCTCCGTTGTTAATAACGTCAATTTACTAACCATTTGACCAAAAACTGATTTCATTCCATCAACCCCCGCTAAACCACCCCTCGATCGCGACCTCTTCACCTGAATCCGATTCAATTCAATAACAGGTCCATGTTGTTTATCTCGAACCATCGTAGCTTGCACCACCTTCCTAAAGGTCGCCTCTTTAATATTATAAATCAATTGATTCCTCAATTCGTGTAAAGATCCCGGACCATCAATCGGGAACATTCCGATACAAGGACAAAAAATCTCCGAAAAATGATGCAGGAGCACCAACCGCCGATGTAGCGTTACCGCTGGTATATCGCGGAGTAAATCGTACTCAACCGGAACTTGAGTGGGTAAACGGGCGCCGCAACCGGAAGGATTATTCGTTGACCATGCTAAAGTGTGGGCGGAACCGCATGCGACGTTGGTGATTTTTTTTCCTTGAAGCGCTTGGACTAATCGTGGACGTTGTATTGCGTTCGTGGTGCCATCACCAAGTTGACCCTCGTCGTTATCACCCCAAGTGAAAACTTCGCCTTCGTCCGAACACGCAACGCAATGAAGGGATCCGGTTGCGATGCTGATTATTTTTTTACCTTGGAGTGCGGCTACTTTGCGTGGTCTGCGAACGTGGTCGTCTGGACCATGACCTAAACGGTGGTAATCACCTTTACCCCTTAAAAAATAGAATCAAAAATCAAGTAGAATTTTTATTGTTATATCAAACGGAATTATTACCATGTATAAACACTTCCTGATCTAGTTAATGCGACGGAAAATTGTGATCCGCATTCAACTTTGATAACACCTAGACCGGCTAGGCTTTCGATCTTCGTCGGTACCTTACATCCATCGGAACCTCCCCTGCCCAATTTTCCGTAATCCCCATCTCCCCAAGACCAAACGTTGTCGTCGTCGGTGATGCATAAAGTTTGAGCATCTCCGGAACCACATGCTACGTCAATAACACGATAACCAATTAAAGCTTCAACCTAAAACATAAAAAAATAATACTTTTAAATATCAAGATTTGTAATAACAATAATAATCGTTTTATTGTTTATAATTTACAATATTTCTCCAGTACAATATACAGGGCGCGTCATATGTCTAATTTGAAAACGGCTGACGATATCGTCATGAGCCGAAACACGTCGATTTTTATTTTTTGTTAACTCAAATAATTTATTAATTAACTTTGTTTTTTTTAATGGAACGCCCTTAGATGACAACATTTTCTGATAGAGCTAGAAAATACGAATGCAGTGATACATTGGTTAATTAGTTTTTATGACACCTCTTAGATTTCTAGCAGGACAGGCCACCAGGTAAATAACAAGTGGTATGGACATTGCTACGCGGTCTTACGGTTGTTGATATTTATCTGGTTAACTGTCCTGCGAGAAAAGTAAGTAAGCCCCACCTCTACAGTTGCGCGCGCAGCGATTTTCAGAAATTATTATTAATTAATATCACAAAAACTAATAAACCAATATTTGATGACGAGGTATCATTGAATTCTACTATCATAAAATGATATAATACATAGGCTCTTCCATTTAAAAAAACAAAGTTCACCCATTTTCCGGAAAAACTAAAAGCCTCTCCACATCGTCCGCCCAGTACACCTGTCCTCTCTCCTCATTGTATGTTATTGTTTTTATTTATTTATCTTTCTTTCTTTATAATTATTAACGCACGACAGGAAAACGACATATGCTAAGAGTTCTAGGTGTTTGTTTTCTTATCTTGAATGTTTGAACGTTCAACTGCTGGTTGAGTAGAATAGATGACAGAATCTTTGGAAACAGTTATCTGGACTTCCCCGTTTGACTGCATAAAGTTTCAGTCTGATGATGTTACATTATCGTACTTTGTATTTATTTTTGTCTTTGTTTTCTTTTTTGGTTTGTAGTTAATAAAGTGGTTATTATTATTATTATTGCCACAGCGGAATCTCACCACCAATCTCTTCCCTTCATCATCTTCCTCCATCAACAGATACTTTCGCAGTTCCTCTATCACTATCTCCTCATACCTTACATTATATCTCCCTTCCTGTATCTGTATGTCCCTGTCGCTATGTCTCAGTTCTCTCCACATTTCACCTCTCTTCACTCTCCTATAATATCCTTACCTATCTCCCTGTCCATATATCATACCCCTCTCCTTAATTTCCCTCCAGCACTCTCCCAGGATCCTGCAATGCGGTCTTCCATCTATCCTTTCCTCGTACTTCACTGCTCTTCTCCCAGCCTCTACCCTTACTGCATCTACCTTAACCTCATCACTTTTGTCTCAATCCCTTCGTCGTCCAGAATACCTCGCTTAGCCATCCTCTCCCTTTTTTACCTTTGCCATCCTCTCCCTGTACGTCTCCTTCACTATTTCTATCAGCTGTTTTGTGATACCTCTCCTCCTTATTTCTTCCCACATCTTCCCTCTATCCACCTAATCACATGCCGCTTTCAAACAACTTTCCTCATTTCTTGTTCAACTCCCTATCTGCCAGGTGTTTCAATATGTATACAGGGTGTTTCTAAATTGATGCGGTTTTTCAACGAAAATTAAGGGGGATCTTTCATATAACTTTTTATCACTTCTCCTCCAAGTTACAGCCCTCTAAAATTAGGGGAAAAAATTGTTTTTCTTTAATAAATCCACTATGGAGGAATTTGGAAGGATGAAATTTGACAGATAACTATTACTAATAAGGTGACATTTTTTGACGATTTTTATAACCCTAATATGTTTTTATAAGGGGGTGAAAAAATCCACCCCTATGATACTTCGCATCAGAACTTTTTAATGTGTCCAAATTTTTTTATTTAAAAAATTAATTTAAATAGAGGGATTCAATATACAACTTTTTTGTCTCTTAACATTTTCTCCTAAAATTGCTAGTTTGACCATAAAAAAATAAAATAGTACTCAGACCTATTTGACACAAATTCACAGTATGGTTATAATTAAGGCACGGAACTTTTGTAACAAAAGGATACGATTTCCCCCCTCCACTTGTTTTCAGTGGCTTCCTAGAAATAAATCCAGAAAACTAGCCAATGAGAACAAGTGGAGGGGGGAAATCGTATCGTTTGTTACAAAAGTTCCGTGCCCTAGTTATAATTTATGTAAAAATATCAAGTAGGCTGATGTCATAATGACAAATTTTTAAATATTAAGAACAGTTTCTCCCAAAATTGTTAATTTAATTAAAAAAAAATAATAATACACAGACACTACAATAACAATAAACAAAACTACAAAAACAAATAATAACAACGTTAATAAAATATTAATAATCATAATAAATGTTGAAACTGACGCACGATTCTACCCTTCGCCTCATTGAATTTCGTATTCTTTCAAATATTCCTGGTGTATTCCTAATAGTTTCACATGATGCGATGTACGATTCCGTAAATCATTGATATTTTCAACAGGAGTTGAATAAACGATAGTTTTAAGAAAACCCCAAAGACAGAAATCTAATGGATTTAATTCGGAGATCTGGCTGGCCAATTCTGACCACCACCGCGGCCTATCCAACGATTTGTATAAACTTCGTCTAAGTAGCGACGAGCGTTAATACTAAAATGCGCTGACGCTCCATCATGCATGTACCATAATTTTCGCCTGATTTCTATCGAAACGTCGGCGTCGCTTCGTCAAGAAGGGGACAAATCCTCTTCGAGGAAATTACAGTATGCATGTATTGGAAGAAAATATGGTCCAATTAAATAATTGTCAATTAAATGTGTGGCTCATTTAATGAATATTGGATTCAACAACTTTATGTGGATTTTCTTCAGCCTATATGTAATTCTTATGAAAATTTCTGATGGATTGTTTTGAAAAATTCGCCCCATCGGTAAACAAAATACGACATAAAAACTACGGGGTTTGTGTAACCATTTGAAGAATCCATTGGCAAAAAATTAACCGAGGTTGAAAAACTCGCGGTAAAAGCGTTTGAACACGTTGCAGATGATAAGTATACAAAAGTTGTTCTTTTAAAATCCTAAACACGCTGCAATGGCTTACGTTTAATTGTTGAGCAATTTTTCTTGTACTGCTTCCGGGAGAGTTCTCAATTAAATTAAGAATTTCTTCCTCTAGTGCTTAAAATACATTACGTAGGTATTTCTCATGAACAAAATCACAACAATGAAAATATTTGTCATTATGACACCTGTCTACTTGATAGTTTTAACCAAGTAATTACCAATCTCTGAATTTATGTCAAATAGGTTTAAGTATTTTTTTATGGACAAACTAACGATTATAGGAGCAAATGTTAAGAAACAAAAAAGTTGCGTATTGAATACCTCCCTCTATTTAAATGAAGTTTCTAAATAAAAAAAATGTGGACGCATTAAAAGGTTCTGATACAAGGTATTATAGGGGTGGATTTTTTTCACCCCCTTGTAATTACTTTATGGGGTTATAAAAATCGTCAAAAAATGTCACTGTGGCTATGAGGTATTAGCCAACATAATAATAAAATTAACTTTTTGGCAGACTTTTTATTTTGTGTCTGTTATATTTGTCTTCAAAAACAATTGTGTGCAAATATAAAAATAATAACAAATGAGTTACATTTTATGTTTTTAAATGGAGCTGCTGCCACAGCACACTACATCCACTTCCCCTCTTATAAAGAAAGAACAGAAAGAGGGAAAACATTTAGTCGAAAATTTGAATTAAAATTTAAAATGTACTTTTTTAGTTTTATTAATTATTAAATTGTTGAATTCAGGAGAAACGTTTTCGTTCAAAAGGAAAGCCGGTTTCAGCAAATCGAGGCTTACATTTATTTCTTTACTGTCTTTCAATACAACGAAAAATTTTGAAAATCTCTGCAACACTTTGAAGGGACCTTCGTACCTAGGAGACAACGTAGGTTTAATTCCAGTAATTTTAACAAATACAAAGTTTGACCTGAATAATTCTTTGTGAACAAAAGGTTTTTGGCTGGAATGTATGGTTGACTGAACTGGTTTAATGTCAGCAAAAGATGAGTCTAGTAGAATTACCTCGAGCAATAATCGCTGATTTCAAAGTACGGTGAAATCGTTCAATCATACCGTTACTTTGTGGGTGATAAGCAGATGTGTGTATTTGATGAGTACCTAAAAATAATTGGAATTTTGAAAATAATAGTGATTCGAATTGTCGTCCTTGATCGTGAGTGATTATGGTAGGAATACCGAAACGGCTAAAGTAATGCCTGAAAAGAGTATCTGCAATAGAGGCTGCAGAGATATCTTTTAGAGGAAAAGCCTCTGGCCACCGGGTCTGAATTACATTTTATGTTTTTAAATGGAGCTGCTGCCACAGCACGCTACAGTCACCTTATTAGTAATAGTTATCTGCTAAATTTCATCCTTCCAAATTGCTCCATAGTGGATTTATTAAAGAAAAACACTTGGAGAAGTGGTTTTGACCAAAAAGTTATATGAAAGACCCCCCTTAATTTTCGTTGAAAAATCACCCTTTAAAATCTTTCGCATCAATTTAGATACACCCTGTATATTGTCAATTGCCCCTCTTCCTTTCCTGAATCCCGCCTGCCCCTCCTTCAACAACTCCCCCCTCTCCATTTCCTCTTCCAATCTCCCCAGCAGTACCTTTGCATATATTTTAAATGTAGTGTCCAACAGGGTGATCCCTCTATAATTGCCCACCACCCTTTTACTTCCCTTTTTATACAGTGGACATATTATCCTTTTTTTCCTGTCCCGGAAAGATTTATCAAGATATATCAGATATATCAAGATTTATAAAAAGTTCTCTTTCGTCTCAGTTTATTTTTTACTTATAACCTAATTTTATGTCGAAAATGTCAAATTCATGATTGACTCAAATATAACATGATTTATTTTTTATTTAAACTTACTAATTTTGGTTTAGTTTGATCTTCACTATCTCCATGTCCTAATCGCCCATAACGACCTTTACCCCAAGTAAATAACTGCCCTGAACTGGTGATAGCGGCAGAATGCGCACCGCCGCATGCGATGTCTACAATTTCATAACCTTGAAGTGCTTCAATAACTTTCGGCCGATCATAATCTCTAAAATATGCAATAAAATGTTTATTTTTGTCCATTTTATTAAATTATTTATTACTTTTTATTGCCATGTCCTAATTTGCCATCGTCGCCTTCTCCCCAAGAATACACGTCGTTGTCGGCCGATAAAGCCAAGCAATGTTTACCGCCAGAGTTTACGGCAACTTTTTTAATGAACACGTGTTGTATCGATTCGATTAATGTTGGCACTAAAACTGAATCGGTTCCACCTAAACCTAATCTTCCACCAGCGCCAAAGCCTATAAATAAATTAAAAAAATTAAATTGTCTTATAAATAGTTAATTAATTACCTGTTGTATAAACTTTTCCATCGGCAGTAACAGCAATTAGAGTTTGTTCTCCCCCTAAAATTTGAACCGGTCTCAAACTCGATAACGCTTCACACGGCGTGGGGCATTTCACTTTCGCTCCTTCAATACCGCCTAATTGACCTCGATGATTATGGCCCCAACCATAAATGGTCCCTGAACCGCCCCAAGATAACGTCCAATCTTCTGGTTTTCTAAAAAATCAAATTTTTTTTTTTAATTGTCACTGTTAAATTCTTTATAAAAAGGAAAAAACACATTCCACCCAACTTCAAAAAGAAATCGAATAAATCTTGGTGAATCTTAATTCGGAACAAAAGTACAGAGAAGCATCAAAGCTGCTTACTGAAACGAATTTGTCCTTCGTTTATAAAAATAAGCAAACCAGAAATGTGCAAGTGATAACTAAAAAGATGCATAAAAGCTGTGATGTTAATGATATCAAAGATGTGCAATTATAATATTTATAAAGTAACCCAAATGTTAAAATACAAAAAAAAGCCTCTTCTTTTATACATCTTGGATTTTGCATTGTCAAAAGATGTAAAAAAATCCATGAAATAACAAACATATTAGGAATGCGTGTCTAAATCAAAGAGTACAGAAAGTCAAAACAAATGCCCCAGTGCAAAAGCCACACCAAAGCTTACTGCCACAAAAATCTGTGATGCGCTGATGAACACTGGACCAGCGAATGCACTAAAGTCAAAGACATCCCGGCTAAATGTTTCAACTGTGGAGAAAATCATCCAGCGAATTACAGAGAATACACTGTGATTAAGGAAATACAAGCCATTAGGAATAAGAAAACAGTAAATTCAAATCAAAGAAAGCCAGGCGTCTCGTATGCCGAAAAAGGGGGTGGTGAAACTGCAGAGAACACTGTAAGAGCATTAGTCTATAAAAAGGCTGATAGTAAATTAGATCTAATACTAGAAAAAATACTTCAACAAGAAGAAACAATAAAAACATTATATGCACGTCTAGATTTCATTGAAAGCAACTTAAACTAAGAAGCGATTCAAAAAAGAAATCAAAATGTCTAAAAAGCAGCAACTAAAAATAATGCTGTGGAATTCCAATGGTCTTCGACAGCATTAAAATACATTACCAATAATACTTAAAAAAAAAACAATTTTGATACACGAGAATCGTATATAAACATCAAGCATTACAATATTTATCACACAATTCACCCTAGTAATGCGGCTCGCGGTGGAAGTGCAATTATCATTAAAAGTAGTATTGACCACTATTTGAATCAAACTACAGTGACAAAAGTTCAAACCGTTAATGGTTTAATATCTGTAGCAGCAACGTACATACCGCCGAGACATAATCTCAGAAGAGAAGATTATCAGGAAATTCTACTGCATCTTGAAAACAAATTTATACTTGGAGGAGACTTTAATGCAAAACCTATGTCATGAGGTTCTCGCTTGATAAATATAAAAGGAAGAGAACTGAAACATGTAATAGAAACCCTAAATTCTGAGGTGCTCTCCATTGGTAAGCCAACTTATTGGTGAACAGATAGAAATAAAATTCCTGGATTCCTGGACCTGGATGGTCTTAGGGAAACTGGCTCCCTTAAACCTAAGAAGAGGACTGTAGTTGATTTTGTTATTATGAAAAATATATCACCTAATTTCGTAAACATAGAAGAAGAGTTAGGGCTGATCAGATCACTCACCAGTAATTATTACTCTAAATAACAAAGTATGTAACAAAGAACTCTTTTTATTACTAACTGGAATCTATTTCAACAAGTATTAGATAATAAAATTCATCTTAATGCTCTTATGGAAACAAACGGAGACATTGGCAAGAAAAATTCTTAAAAGACATACAAAACTCAACCTGGGCCTCAGCACCTATTTTAACACCAAAACCTAAATCTAACATTTATTCTAAATTCATTAGAGACAAAATTGCAGGAAAACGGAAAGCAAGAAAGAAATGGCAAACGAATAGAATTCCTAGTGATAAAACTGAATTAAATAAAATAACAGCCGAATTAAGAGCATTAACAGATAGCAATAAACAAAGTAATATTAAAAATCACTAATAAGATCTTACTGACGATGCCAGTATTGATTATTTTCTGTGGAAGCCAACAAAAAAGCTTACAATTTCAAAAACACATACACCTCTAATTCGAAATAGTAATGGAAATTGGGCTAAGAGCAATCAAGAAAAAGTTAATTTGTTTGCTGAACATCTGTAAGAAACTTTTACATCAGACAGTGCAACAACGATGTTAGATACTGTTCCTAGCATAATTCAAAGTGATCAGCAGAGTAATATATCATGTGTAAGAATGAAAGAACTGTATTATGAAATACACAAACTAAATATAAAGAAATCGGCAGGCTATGATCTAATTAATGGAGAAACATCTACCAAAATGGGCGATTACAAAACTGTTACACATAATTAATGCTGCTTTTAAACAGAAATGCTTCCCAAGTATGTATATGGAAAGTTGCTGAAATAATAATGATACCAAAACCTGGTAAACCCCCCACAGATGTTACATCATATAGGCCAATCTCATTATTACCCTTACTATCAAAAGTACTCGAAAAATTACTATTAAAAAGATTAAAACCTGTCATAAAAGAAAAAGCTCTAATACCAACACATCAATATGAGTTTTAGAATAAATATGCAACAATAGACCAAGTGCATAGAATAACGAATACTATCGAAATAGCAATGGAAGAAAATAAAGTCTGCTCCACCGTATTTTTGGATGTTGCACAAGCTTTTGACAAAGTCTGGTAAGATGGTTTAACTTACAAACTACACCAAATACTAACATCAACGTATACTCAACTATTAAAATGGTACCTTTCTGATCGATATTTTAGTGTAAAATACGAAAACGCTTATTCACCACTACATGAAATACAAGCCGACGCACAGTCGGCATAGAAAATCAATTAAAAAAAAAAAGTTTAGTGTTGTTTTTTTAAATGTTACATATATTTTAACTATTAATAGACTCTTAGTGAAGTTTATGAAATCTTAGGTGTTTTATAATAGCTACTGCGCGAAATAAATTGCTATTACAATTTCTTTATTTTGTATAAAGAAATTTTCTAGAAAACGACACAACTTTGGAAAACAAAAAAAGATGGTATATCACTATTTGAAAATATTGTGTCGTTGGTTTCTTATAAAGCACAGAAAGGTCTTCATTTTATGCCTTTACAAGGTGTTTGTTGAAAAAAATTTTAACCATTTCTATTAATGTCCGTAAATACTTATATTTATTGACCATTCAATATTTTAAATTAAATATCTTGCGAGAAAACAAAGATGAACAATTGTAGCTAACATTTTTTTATTGCTGAAGGTATGGTGTACACAGCATAAAAAAAAATCTTGCACCAACGTGCGCCTTAAGCTATAAATTGGCATTCAAAGATTACTTAACACATAATTGTGGATCTTATTTATCCTTGTTATGATTTTCGCTTTGATATTATATTATTCGCATTTTCTAAAGATAAGACATTTGAAATGAACTTTCACCTCTCTTCCGGTTATACCGCAAGTACCGTAAGAGTTCTTCATTTTGTTAAGTGTAAAAATGTATTTAGTAGTTTTTTATACAGCTTAATTCTACTTCTAATTTTACTTGGAAGGATTGATGAATCCAGCGATTCGAAAATGAGTTTGAAGCATATTGCTTTAATGCTCCAGGAAAGAATGCTAACCTTTATGAATACATGCCTACTAGCGTCCATAAAATTTTAATTCATGGAGCTGCAGTAATTAAAGACTGGCTATTATCCATTTCTGAAGGGAGCTTTCTGAAGAGGCTCAAGAGGCGAAAAACAAACAAGTGCGCAGATTTAGAGATGATTCGTGTGTCACACAAGAAAATGTGGTAGACTTCAAACAAATGAAGATTTATTTAAAAGATTATTACTCAGCTCCGAACCATTTATTAGTAACTTCTATAAAGAATGTTCAGAAAAATATAAAAATATGAATGAATACGTGAAAAATTTAGTTATATTGGACGAATCTTTAGAAGAAAAGGAAGGTAAAGAAAAAGATGATGATGATGAAGAACAAAATATAGAGGAGGAAGATCTAGAAAATGAAGAAGACTCATACAAATTGAGATAAATGTTGTTATGTTGGTGAATTATGATGAAATTATTTTCGAATAATTCTTAAAACATTTTTAGTAAAAGCTACGTAAAATTACGCTATCTAACCAACTAATGTACTAATATAACATTGCTATTTCTTTAAAATAACGAAGCTTGCATACATTGGAAAAAATCGATTTTTTTTCATTTCAAAGGTGGCATACCCTCTTAAGAAACTTGGGAAAATTTCAAGAATCATCATGTCGCTTAAAAATCGACGATTCTTTTAATCAATGTGAAATGACCCAAAAAATACGTTAAAAATAAAAAGAAAGTGTGAAAAAGTGACTAACACTAGATTAACTTCAGTTATAAAACTTCTACTATATGATAACTAACTTCAAATTTAAAATGTCAACCTCAATTTTCACATATTTGTAATCTTCATTAAAAATCCTTTAAAATGAGTACAAACACGACATATTTATCTTCAATATTAATGAAGTTAGGGTTAAGTTCCGGTTAAGAAAATCCTTTAAAATGAGTCGAAACATGATACGTTTAATTCCAATATTACTCGAGATATAAGCAACTTCCGGTTTGGAATGTCAATGTCATTTTGACATATTCTTAATTTTTATGAAATATCTTAATATTTGTCACAAAAACAAAAATATAATAAAAAAAAAAAATAAAAAATTAAGGTTGGTATTAATATTTAAAAATAAAATTGCTATCTTCATTGTTGCTAATTTAGGGTTTAATGTTTTTTATTCCAACTCATTTTGGACTCATTTTAAAAGTTTTTTAATGAAATTGACAAATATGTCAAAATTGACGTTGATGTTTCAAACCGGAAGTGATTGTATTTCCATTAATATTAAAGTTAAATAAGTCAAATTTAGACTCATTTTAAAGGATTTTTTATGAAGTTGACAAATATGTCAAAATTAAAAGTTGAAAGTTAGAACTTTTTGGTTTTTTATTTTATTTATCTAAAAATTTATTAGTGTTTTAGCCTCAACTATTTAGTTACTGAAAATGTTATTGAAAATCAGGAAAACAATATATATTTTATAAAGGTCCTAGATAATACCAACAGAAACCCTAAAAAATTTACGTTGACAAGTATTAAAAAAAAACGAACTATAGTAATATCTTATGCTAACTAGCGCTAGCTACCACTGCCATTAGAACTAACACTAGATCGAGAACTAGAAATATTCGGATTTAGTTCCACGTCTGTCAAGACGGCTAAACCCGAATGATTCTAGTTCTAGGTCTTGTGTTAGTTCTAGTTTTAATGCAAAACTAGCGCAAAACATGCTAACTAGCGCTACCTACCGCTGTCGTTTGTAAAATGGATAAGATGAGAGATGTTAATCTATTAGTAGAGTCTCTGAAGATGGCCAAGGGCCGAAACTAGTTATACTTAAATTTTAAATATAATAAAAGACATAAACTTTTAATTTTATACTAACATCTAGAAAACGACACTGACCCGAAATTGTAGGTTCATCTATTTTTTCTATTGTAGAATTTCTTGGTGTAGCTAAGTGATAAGTTACACCTTTACCTATCAGACAGCATGGAAATCTCTAAAAACGATCAAAAAACTAATGTATGTGAGAATTTGTTATTTTGCGAAAAATATGATTGTTACCAGGAAGACTTATGGAGAACTTCAAGCTTTCCAAATTCAAAATAGACACATTGTATCATACATAGAGAGGCTCTTTCTGCACAAAATATATCACCTGAATTAAATATTGTGATGGATATAACTATCAAAGTGGTAAACTTCATAAAAACAAGACCCGTGAAGGCAAGATTTTTTCAAAAGCTTTGCGAAGATTTGGGAGCGGAGTATGCATCTTTACTTTATGTATGTTAATTATATTGTAAGTCTTGTTGTTTGTCAAGAGGTAACGTACTCTCATGTGTATACAAATTAAGAAATGAATTGTATGCGTATTTATTGACAGAATCGCATCCTGACGCAGAAAGGTTACAAAAAGGTAAAGATACCGACTTCTTAATAAAAATGGCGTATCTTTGCGACATATTTCTGCAGAGAAACGAAATGCATATACTGCAACTGGCTGATAAAATTTCAGCGTTTCAAAAGAAGTTGCTGTTGTGGAACAGAAAAATAGTCCTTCCTGTAAAAAAAAATCTGTTCAAGATCTGAAGCCAAGTTTGCAATTGATATTAATCCAACACTTATCAACATTAAGCGCCCATTTTGATAGCTATTTTCTACAGAATCTTGATTAATACGACTGGATTATTATAGATAAATTCCAATCGAACCCTCTCCCATCTGCACTTTCAACAGTCGAGGAAGAACAACTGTTAGAACTATTTTCTGACACAAGCCTAAAACTAAGATTTGACAAAAACAAACTATTTCAACTACCACTTTAAAGATTATTTTACCGTTTGCTACGTCGCGTTTGTGTGAAACTGGCTTTTCTACACTTGCACTAATTAAAATCAAAATACACATCACAAATCAATTCAGAAAAAGAAATGAGAGTAGCAATTTCAAAACTTTAACCCCGATTTAAGAAGTTATGAAAAAAAGAAAATATTTTTTTAATTTCTTTTCTTATTTAGTTACTTACCTATTAAGCCATATTAAAAGTTGTTCGTCATGTTCTTTCTTAAAAATATCATGGCGTTCATGTTCCCATATCTCATCAGTATCAGCTTCCGTTTCCTCCACCAATTTTTTTCTAACCTCCATAACAAAATTCCGCGGAAACAACGTCCTCGTAATTAAAGCTTTTGCAACTCTCGCAGCATAACAATAACGCTTAAACCATAACCACTTCCGATTGTCGGAGTGAGCGATCGTTTCGTCTATTGCCAAATCACAGCTCAACGCAACTAGTACTTTGAAAAAATCCGAATGCATCAAATGGAGTCCGGCTCGAACTGAAACGTCTTCGTATTCGTATTGGCGAAGTAAAGCTTGGGGTAATTCTTCGAGTAAATTGGCTAAGGGACTATCGGGGTTTCTCACTTGAGTGATACCCATACCGAATTTTGATGCGTCGTTTGATATTAGGAGTTCGTGGAGTGTTTTTAAAGCCCACATACGTTGATTAGCAGCTAAAATAAATTAAAATTAAAAATAAAAATAGTATAATAATGAGAGTTCTGCAGTGGAAGTTAATCCCTCAAATCCCCCTGTGACGTCACGCAATGTTATAAGTATAGGGAGCGGTGCCAACCTAATCTTGGGGGAGAAAAAAATAGGTTGGTATTGGAAAAGTAACTAGATTTGGTGACTTTTTCAAAAAGTTAAAAAGGTTAAAAATTTCGCGCCACTTAGCGGTGGGGTGGAAGAATTAACAACCAATAGAGTTCTGCAGTGAATTTAAATATTGTTTACTTACATAAAAAGCTTAGTTGAGAACACGAAGCCAAAGCAATCGCTAATCTTGACATTAACGAAGTATCTGCAGCTCCATACAACCGCCGATCCAACAAACAAATCACCATATCAATGGAGGGTTGACTCAAAATCGCTCGATCACAACCAAGTTCTTTTGGATTCGTATTTGCGACTATCGGATAAACCGTAAATCTCCACCCCCATCCATTTACGGTACTATCACTGGTGAAAGACCATCGAATCTCATCCCCAGGAATATTTAAATCACCCGACCAATCGGACCATTCACGTCCAGATTTTGTAGCAACCAATTTTCCAGTGCCATCAACGATGGTTAATGGGTCGTGACGTTTTTCTGTTGAGCAACGTCGATCGAATTCGATGCGGAGTGCGTCTGCACCGGGGATCTTCACGTGGCCTAATATGCAAATGAAATTGTCTACTGCCAGAGTAAGATCGGGTTCGTTTGGCGATTTCAAAGAAACGCCATCTATAAAACTAAGGGAAGAAACTGGGTGGACGTACCTCTTAAATTGACGTCATCGATGTACGGGTGATTGGATTCTTGGACGACGGGGCGCGGGGTGTATGGTACTGAATGAGTGGTGCTCACGGTGTCTTCAAGTTCGGTTACGCAAAGTTCTAGAAGCATTTCTGCCACTGATCTAATTGAAATACCCATTGCTAAAAAAATAGATCATAAAAAGTTAGTAAATAAAAGTTATACACAATGTTTGAAAACTTGTCTATTTTGCCAAAAATCAATCAGTAACGCTTGGAAGCTTGTCTAAAATTGTCTAAGTGATAAAAATGTATTTGGTAATGATTAAAAGTTTGTCTAAACAACTAAAAAGTAGTTGTTAATCATTGAAAACTTGTCCAAATGATTAAAAAATAGTTTATTGCAATGCCATGTTGTCCAAAATGATTCAAAATTGATTTGTTGTTTTTGAAAACTTGTCCAAATGATTGCGAGTTGGTTCTTACCTATGCCAACATTGTCTAAATATTGAAAAACTGTTTCAAACATTTGTTCAAAACGATTTAAAATCGTTTGCTAATCATTGAAACTTTGTTTAAATGATTAAGATTTGATTCGTAACAATGCCAGGTTGTTCAAAATGATCAAAAATTAGTTGGTAATCAGTGAAAACTTATCTAACTTGCTAAAAACTAATTGGTAGACATTGGAAGTTTGTCTAAATGATAAAAAGGTATTTGGTAATAATTATATTTTTGTCTAAACGATTAAAAAGTAGTTGTTAATCATTGGAAACTTGTCTAAATGATTAAGATATAGTTTATTCTAATTCCATGTTGTTCAAAATGATTCAAAATTGATTAGTTGTTTTTGAAAACTTGTCCAAATGATTGCTAGCTGGTTCTTACCTATGCCAGCATTGTCTAAATATTCAAAAACTGCTTCATAGCTATTCCCATTTGTTCAAAACGATTTAAAATCGTTTGCTAATCATTGCAAATTTGTTTAAATGATTAAGATTTGATTCCTAACAATGTCAGCTTGCTCAAAATGATTAAAAATTAATTGATAATCAGTGAAAACTTATCTAAATTGCTAAAAACTAATCGGTAGACATTGGAAGCTTGTCTAAATGATAAAAAAGTATTTGGTAATGATTAAAAGTTTGTCTAAACGACTAAAAGTAGTTGTTAATTATTGAAAATTTGTTTAAATGATTAAAATTAGATTCCTAACAATGTCAGGTTGTTTAAAATGATTGAAAATTAGTTGGCAATCAGTGAAAACTTATATAAATTCCTAAAAACTAATTATTAACCATTGGAAGCTTGTCTAAATGATAAAAAAGTATTTGGTAATGATTAAAAATTTGTCTAAACGACTAAAAAGTAGTTGTTAATCATTGAAAACTTGTCTAAATGATTAAGAAATAGTTTATTGCAATTTCAGGTTGTCCAAAATGATTCAAAATTGATTAGTTGTTTTTGAAAACTTGTCCAAATGATTGTGAGGTGGTTCCTACCTATGTAAGCATTGTCTAAATATTCAACAACTCCTTCATAGCTAATCCCATTTGTTTAAAACGATTTAAAATCGTTTGCTAATCGTTGAAAATTTGTTTAAATGATTAAAATTTGATTTCTAACAATGTCAGGTTGTTCAAAATGATTCCAAATTAGCTATTAATCAGTGAAAACTTATCTAAATTACTAAGAACTAATTAGTAACCATTGAAAGCTTGTCTAAATGATAAAAATGTACTTGGTAATGGTTAAGTTTGTCTAAACAGCTAAAAAGTAATTGTTAATTATTGAAAACTTATCTAAATGATTAAGAGATAGTTTATTGCAATTCCATGGTATCCAAAATGATTCAAAATTGATTAGTTGTGTTTGAATACTTGTCTAAATGATTGCTAGTTGGTTCTTACCTATGTTAGCATTGTCTAAATGTTCAAAAACTGTTTCATAGCTATTCCCATTTGTTCACAATGATTTAAAATCGTTTGCTAATCATTGAAAATTTGTTTAGATGATTAAGATTTGATTCCTAACAATGTCAGATTGATTAAAATGATCAAAAATTGGTTGATAATCATTAAAAGTTTGTCTAAACGATTAAATAGTTGAAATAAACGTATTTATGCTTTTATTGATATTTTAATTGTACACTCTGCCTGACGCGTTTTGGTGATCTACGCCATCTTCGGAGGCTTATGAGCATTACTGCATTTGTTCGCTCCCGAGAAGAAGAAAAACAATACAATAAATAATGCAGCCCATTCGTGATTAATAACCAAAAATATCCTCTGAAAGAAACATTTTAACCTTACCACCTAAGAAGGAAAATAATATTTTATAAATGTACTACATAACATAGCAAAACAGGACGAAAGCCTCCGAAGATGGCGTAGATCGCCGAAACACGTCAGTACAATGAAAATATCAATAAAAGCATAAATACGTTTAATTATTTCATATATATATTGATAACAAGGATCCACACCATGATTAAATAGTTGTTTTAAACTTGTCTAAATTATTGAGAGATAGTTTATAATAATTCCATGTTATCCAAAATGATGTAAAACTGATTATTTATTATTGAAAACTTTACATATTATTATTTTTATTAATGCATTTTTACATACAAATTGTAATTTTGTGGCAACAATGTACTATAGTATTTATGTATACAGGTGTTTCAAAACTTTCACACCAAAGTGATATGGAAGACTTAAACTAAACCAAATATAAAAACAATGTTATTAGATTTAGAATTAAGTGTCTTGCATAAAACTTCAATTTGAAAGATCATTTTTGAAACACCTGCTGTTGTAGGACTATATTTTAGGATTATAAAAATCGCAAAGAAATCCCAGAAATGGCAACAGCAACTGATTGCCTTGCTTAAAGCTAAAAGCTGCCGAAACCACTCCCAAGCAAATAATAATTTATCTCTACTTCTTTAAAAAAATAGTTTTAATTATTGCTTTCTTCTTTTCATTATCAGAAAATATCTTGCGTGATGATTCAGCATTACTGAGGAAATTAAAAATGTACAGAGACAAAATCACGCTATATTTTCTCAAACCGACTTCGAGTAAGTTACTAATTTGATAGAATTTTGTCGTCATCTCGTAGAAACTGAACAATTTTTTTCTTTTTTAGATTTTGCGGCTAATAAACGACATATGGTTTGGATTTCGCTCATTTTTTGATGAATTATATCGGTTTGTAACTCATTACATCGACAATGTAACATACACATTTTTTCCTTTAACTTTCTATTTTCCAAATTTAATTCAGAAAAATATTGCTTTGCTTGTTCAAGCTGATTACGTGCCAAACTCAGTTTCTTTTCATGCTCAATTCGCTGACTTTCAACGCTTAACTGTTGGCGATGAAATTGATCCTCCAAATTCCGAATTTTCTCTTTTTCTTTTTCAATTTTCTTTTTTATTGGCTCTTCTCTACTTCTTTTAATATATTCTATGTCGGCCAATGTGTTTTTAATCTCAGCTTCAAGAACTTCATTTCTTTCCTCTAATTTTCCGTTTAAACGTTTTAAAGTTACCGTTTCGTAATCACCGCTACCGTTGGTCTCTGAATAAGCTTGTTTATTTTGTATGTGTCGTTCGTAAAGTTTTTCTCTTTTACGTAAGTAATCAATCTCTTTATTTAATTTGTTTTCGTTTTCTAACATTTGACGAATTTTTTCTATGTAAACCAAATCATTTTGGCATATTGTAATTTTCTCATATTTGGGGGGTAATGAAGATAATGTTTCACACGAACAACTTTGTAATGATCGACTTGTAGAGCATGAAAATGTTACGGATTGGGGTTTATTACATTGACAATTTTTACAGTCACAATCACTAACGTTATCACAACATTTTTCTTTAACTTCATCTTCTGAATTTGCTAATGATGAAGTTTCGCATGAACAACTTGAAGTGCTTAAAGATCGATTACACCGACAATTCACACAATCACACTCACTTTCACATTTGTAATCATTGACGTTTTTAAATTCTCGTTCCTTCACTTCAGATTTATTATTGTTAAATGGATTATCTGAATAATAATGAATGTTTTTTAAGAATGGCAGTACTAGGCAATCATTATTCGTGATTTTCTGTTTGTTAGTGCTTGTTTGATCACTATTCTGGACTTTACATTGATTCGTTTGGCAAGGAGCTCGATAAACTTCGTTGCGCGAGACTTTTTTGGCCGGATTTATCATGATAGGAGACGAGAATACACGAAATTTTGAACGGTGTTCTAAATTCTTCACGAATATCGAGGTTATGTTGGTATTTGACAAACAAATTTTGATAAATTTGGAGTTACCATGCATACAGAATAATATAGTAACAACACTTGTACATACATAAAAGTGTACAGTGAAATAGTTTATTGCAATTCCATGTTGTCCAAAATGACTCAAAATTGATTTGTTGTTTTTGAAACCTAGTCCAACTAGTCCAAACGATTGCGAGCTGGTTCTTACCTATACTAGTATAGTATACTAGTATAGTATACTAGTATAGTATACTAGTATACTAGTATATGTCTAAATATTCAAAAATCCATTTGTTCAAAACAATTTAAAATCGTTCACTAATCATTGAAAATTTGTTTAAATAATTAAAATTTGAATCTTAACAATGTCAGGTAACTCAAAATGATCAGTGAAAACTTATCTAAATTGCTAAAAACTAATTAGTAACTATTGGAAGCTTGTCTATATGATAAGAAAGTATTTGGTAATGATTAAAAATTTGTCTAAACGATTAAAAAATAGTTGTTAATCATTGATAACTTATCTAAATGATTAAGAAATAGTTTATTGCAATTCCATGTTTTCCAAAATGACTCAAAATTGATTAGTTGTTTTTGAAAACTTGTCCAAATGATTACGAGCTGATTATTACGTATGCCAGCATTGTCTAAATATTCAAAAACTACTTCATAGCTATTTCGATTTGTTCAAAACGATTTAAAATCGCTTGCTAATCATTGAAAATTTGTTTAAATGATTAAGAATTGATTCCTAACAATGTTAGGTTGTTCAAAATGATTAAAAATTAGTTGGTAATCAGTGAAAACTTATCTAAGTTACTAAAAACTAATCAGTAACCATTGGAAGGTTGTCTAAATGATAAAAAGTATTTGGTAATGATTAAAAATTTGTCTAGACGACTAAAAAGTAGTTGTTAATCATTGAAAACTTGTCCAAATGATTAGAAAATAGTTTATTGGAATTCCATGTTGTCCAAAATGATTCAAAATTGATTTGTTGTTTTTGAAAACTTGTCCAAATGATAGCTGGTTCTTACCTACGTCAGCATTGTCTAAATGTTCAAAAACTATTTCAAAGCTATTTCCATTTGTTCAAAACGATTTAAAATAATAATAATAATAATATGACTTTATTTGTCCTATTAGATGTACATTGACTTGGTATACATGAAATTATTATAAATTCAGCCAGGACAAATTAGGCGGAGTTCAGGTGCAGCCGTAACAGCACCTGCTCTTCCACTCAAACCTAATAAAACTAATTCTAATTCTAAATATACAAGAGAGAAAAAGAAAAGAAAAACGAAAAGAAACAGGAAAAGAAAAGGAAAAAGACCCGATACTGAAATCATAATCAATTACCAAGCGCAAACTGCCCGATACCTGTCGCCCTACAATGCATCCTGAATTTGAGACAGGCGGCCCCTCATTCTGTGACGAAACAACCTTAAAGAAGTGCTACATTTTATAGTTGATGGCAAATCATTAAGAATATGTGTTATTTGGTATGAAAAGCATTTCTTAAATAGCTGGTGATGATGGATCGGCGGGGTAAGAGTGCCCTTGAATCGAATATTCAAGGTATGAACATCGGTACGAAATTTTATTCTATTGAACAAATATGGAGGTTTCTTCAAAGTAATTATATTAAAGAACAAAACTGCCGAATGAAGTATGCGCCTGTTTTTCATATTGAGCCAACTCAAATCCTTTAATTTCTGCGAAACATGCTGACGCACCCGTAACCCGTATTTTGAATTTTCTGAATTTTTCTCATATTACTATACGAAATACACGGATCATATGTATCACAATAATTAAAATGCGATAATACCAAGGCATCGCACAAAAGCACCCTTGTTCTACGATTGAGGAACGACCGACCGCCATAATTCAGCTTAAGAGCTGCATACGCGGAAGCAGTGCACTCATTTATCGACATCCGATGACAGAAAAGATATATATAACTGGGTGTCATCCGCGTAGAAATGATGATTACAACTTTTTATGTATCTGTTAAAATGCGATGTGTAAAGTGAGTGTAGCAATGGACCCAAAATTGAACCCTGAGGAACACCGGCCGTTGTTGAAAGAAACGATGAAACGCGACCATTCACCTTCACGCACTGCATTCTGCCCGACAAGTAACTGTACAAGAACCCCGATGCAAGATCATCAAACCCAATGTAGCAAAGTATGGCATACATCAAATCATGATTGATAGTATCAAAAGCCTTTGAATAATCTAAGAGACACATCAAAGTCAATTTTCCTTGGTCTGTGCTTCGTACGACATCGTCCACAATATTCGATAGAGCTGTATTACAGCCATAATGCTTTCTAAAACCTGACTGTGTAGGCGGTAAAAGGTTGTATTCCTTAACATAGTCCTTTAATTGTGATTTGATTACTCTTTCTGTAATTTTTGCCAATATTGGTAAAATACTAATTGGACGAAGGTCTTTGAGGTGATCAACATTCGCTTTCTTTGATAGAGGCAGAACCATGGACCTTTTCCAACAAGTGGGGAAATGACCTACAGAGAAGCACCCATTTATCAAATGTGTAATAAAAGGCAAAATATGAGGAGAATATAGTTGAATAAATTTAATGTTTAAACCATCGAGACCCGCCGAGTTATTTTTAATACTGTGTATGACGCGCATCACTTGGTCCTCATCAACCCGCCTAAACGAGAATTTATTTACGATTATCCTATGAGTCATATAAAAATTATACATTTCGTTGTCGCGTGGAAAATTGGGCAACGAGTGATGAAGAACTGATTTATGGTATCAGGGTCAGCAAGATCGTCCGCAACGCAAAACGAGCGCTTCCGAGCCAGCCCGATTCCCCTTATCAACGTCCAAACCTCCTTACTATTTGCCCCACAATGACCAATCTTATATTCAAAAAACGCACGTTTCTCTCTCCGTATCGATTCATTAGTAAGATTTCGCAGTGATTTATAATAATCCCAAGAGGAATGCAGCCCATTCTTTTTAAATGCCCTATATGCCTTGTCGCGAAGACACTGATTCTAAAATTTGTTTAAATGATTAAGATTCCTAACAATGTCAGGTTGTTCAAAATGATTAAAAGTTAGTTGGTAATTAGTGAAAATTTAGTTAAATTGCTAACAACTAATTAGTAACCATTGAAACCTTGTGTAAATGATAAAAAAGTATTTGGTAATGATTGAATGTTTGTTTAAACGATTAAAAACTAGCTGCTTGTTTAGATTTCATTCGATAAAATTTCATTCTTTTTATGTTTATTTTTCATATTTTATTTAATTCAATTTTTCGGATAGATTGTACATTTTCGTTTTATTTTCGTGCCGAAATTTTTGTGTGCGTTCGGTCCGCCCGCAAGTAGAAAAAAAAACTAGCACTCGTTTTCTTCGATTTGCCGTTACGACACAGAAAATAAAGATAAGTTTAGTTTTCATTAAAGTTCTAAGTGTACACTCAGGATAGTAAAAGCAAGTATAATTTTCTATTAACATTTTCGAGATCTTATAATTAGTAGATCAATTCATTTTCAAAAACGATCGTGAATAGATTAATCAAAACACTGCTAATCATTGAAAAGTTTTCTAATTGATTAAGAAATAGTTTATTGCAATTCCACGTTGTCCAAAATGATTCAAAATTGATTAGTTGTTTTTGAAAACTTGCCCAAATGATTGCGAGGTGGTTCTTACTTATGCCAGCATTGTCTAAATGTTCAAAAACTACCTCATAGCTATTACCATTTGTTTAAAACGATTTAAAATCATTTGCTAATAATTGAAAATTTGTTTAAATTAATAAGATTTGATTCCTAACAATGTTAGGTTGTTCAAAATAATTAAAAAATTAGTTGAGAATCAGTTAAAACTGATCTAAATTGCTAAAACCATTGATTCGTTTGGCAAGGAGCTCGATAAACTTCGTTGCGCGAGACTTTTTTGGCCGGATTTATCATGATAGGAGCCGAGAATACACGAAATTTTGAACGGTGTTCTAAATTCTTCACGAATATCGAGGTTATGTTGGTATTTGACAAACAAATTTTGATAAATTTGGAGTTACCATGCATACAGAATAATATAGAAACAACACTTGTACATACATAAAAGTGTACAGTTGGTTAATAACCCCATAATTCGTTCAAATTATTAACGATTCATTATACATATAAACAAAAATTTTACTTACTTATAAGTATAGTTGATAAAATATGTTTGGCTTGATCATCTTCGATACGTTCAGCGATCGCTAATTTTAATAAATCCACCAAGAATCGCGCGTCAGATTCCGTTAATAAACTTGTAAATTCATCCAAACCAGACACTTCACTATCTCCCACAACCTAAAAATAAAATTAATAACACCATTACAACCTTATAATTGATTTAAAATTACCTCAGCATGAGATGTTAAAGTCGCTGCAATCACTGACATAGCATTTGTGGAAATTTTCGACTGTTTCGATGATAAACTCGCGGAACAACTGCTCGCCGTCATTGATTGGATCAACGCCAAAGGATTTTCTTCACTCTCAGGTGTTGTTTGATGACTCTATAACAAAAAATGTTAAAACCAATTAATCTTTAATAATAAACTTACTCCTAATCCTTGAATTTCGGTTAAAGAAGCCGGGGCTTCCCCGCCGCCAAAGGCAATTTCGTGATCCCTATTCTTCTGACCCGGCATCAAAGTTGAAACGGTCGAATCCATACTTCCGTCACAACTTCCTTTGGTTAATCCCCCGATGTTTGTGTGGCTGCATAAAGCTTTTACAACACCTTGTCGTAATTGTTGTATTTGCATCGCGTTTAAAATGTGAGTTAGAGCTTGTTGTTTCTCTGCGTTACTCTCCAGCGACATCACAATTGAACTTAGTGATGGTTTATTCGACGATAACCAATCGCGTCCAATCGGTTTTTCGTCATCGTATAAACCCAAACCAGAAGCACCTAACGGATCTTTCGTAACCGGAAATAAAACCGGATCTTGCCTGGTAACCGTTTGGATGTCTTGTAAATACCAAGCGACTGAATGCGAACTTCCACAAGCGACTTTATTTATTGAAATACCTTCGAGTCCTTGCACCAAAGCCGGTTTTCGATTAACAACTGTTGTTCCATTGCCTTGTTGACCATGGTCGTTATCACCCCACGCGTAAACTTGTCCATTTGCTGTAACAGCAAGGCAATGTAAAGCCCCAACGGAAACGTGGACGACTTTTTGACCCTCCAACGCTTCAATCATGGTTGGTTTTCGAACGTGTTGATCAGATCCATGCCCCAAACGGAAATAATCACCTTTTCCCCACGTCCAAATCTCTCCCGCTTTAGTTAAAGCCAACGAAAACTGCGCGCCACATTCAATTTGGATCACATTTAATGAATTTAATCTCTCAATGTTTTGAGGGACATTACAACCTTCACTTCCACCTCGCCCCAACTTTCCAAAATCCCCATCCCCCCAAGAAAACACCATACCAGCATCGGAAAGCGCTAAAGTTTGAGCATCTCGACTCCCACACGCAACCTGAATAATTCGATGACCTTGTAATGCTTTTACAAGTTTCGGTTTTAATTGCGTTAAATTATCTCCATGTCCTAATCTTCCGTATTCACCCAATCCCCAAGTATACAACTCCCCATTACTTGTTATCGCCGCGGAATGTGAACTTCCGCAAGCGATATCACGAACCCTTTTACTTCTTAGCGCTTCAATTAATTTGGGTTTATCCAAATTTAATCGATTTCCATGTCCCAATTTACCATCTTCACCTTCGCCCCATGAAAAAATTTTTCCATCCAAAGTTAACGCCATCGCGTGTTTCCCCCCGGAATGAATGGCGACTTTTTTGATGACGTATTGACTTAAAAAGGGTAAAGGTCGAGGTAAAGAAACGTTATTATTGTGTCCCAATCCAAGCCTTCCATTTGTACCTTCACCACAAGCATATAATTTACCTTCTTGGGATACGATAAAAAGCGATTTTGAACCCCCGGCGATATGAATCGGACGTAACTGACTTAAAAATTCAGAATAAACCGGTAGTTTCACTTTCGATCCTTTCATTCCACCCAATTGATCTTTATCGTTTAATCCCCAAACGTAAACTTTACAAACGGGCATTGAAACTTCCGAATTTTTATCACCAATTACTTCTTGAATTATCCTTGGCATCGTGACAGAATGTTCTTGGTTTAGATTCCATTCGTTTGCTAAAAAGGAAGTTCGCGCTCCGTTCGAGTAAGATTTATCGACACCCACAATTGATAATCCGTGCACTTTACAGTCGATCCCGCGTGTTTTGCATTTAACGATTGAGAGTTCTATTAAGGGGTAATGCCGATCGAGGTTTGATAAAATGGTTACGCAACTATCGATGTTTCTGAAGTAGACTACATTTAATTCGACGAGAGAATTGTAAGATGCTCCCGCGCTTGCTATTACGATGGATGGCATGTAGTCGGAGTCTTCTGGATCGACCATCATTTTTAATGATTTTATGATGATTCCAGAGAAGATTTCTAATCGGATCCAATGCTATTACAAGGAACAAATTAATATTAATTAATAATTATTATTTAAGACTTACTTTGTATGTTATTTCCATCGTTTTCTGTTAAAACAAAAAAAAAATAATAAATAATATATAATTAATAATATAATTGAATCGTTTATTTCAGAAAGAGGCTAAATAACATTTTTGATATTTGAGATAAGTGGTAGATAGAATATATTATTATGAATATATTCATCTACCTTAGATTTAACCTACAGTCAAAATGTAGTCAAAAACGTTGTTAGCTATATCAAGTAACAATAACTGCTTTAAGTGGTAATAATGGAAGAAATAGAAAGTGAATGTTCACTAAGTAATACAGAAATCAGAGTTTCTAAAAAAGGAAAAGAGGAGTTAACAATTCCTACTGTTATACTCGAAATACTATAAGACATGTTAGAGTTAAAGGAAAACGATATTTAAATTACAAGGGAAATGAAGTGCAAGAAAAAAAGTGTGGAGAAGCTTGTAGGTAAGTGTTACACGAACTGACGAGTTGTATTTTTAAACTAAATTAATACTTTAAGATGTCCAAAGAAATGTTTCCAAAAGTTGAATGAGAAAAAATTGAAAATTTTCAACAAACTATACGTAAAATTTAATACTAAAGATGAACAAGATATTTACTTACAAGGCTTTTTAGAAATGCATGAAGTTCAAAGGAGATCTAAACCCAAAACGGAATAATGCAGAGACAAAAGTTGTTCATTTTCCATTACATTCTAACTACTAAAAAGACTTAAACGTTTAAAATCACTGCTTCAACAAAATTTAACTCCTCGTGATAACAGGGGAACTAATATCATACCGGAATCCAGTAAAAAACATATTACTCAAATAAGAATTACTATTATCTTGATAGCAGACTTAACTTTAAAATTATGTATAATCTTTTCGTAGAAAAACATAAAAATACTCGAATCCGCTACAGTTACCATGTTAAATATTTTCATGACTATTACAATCATCCACATTTTGGTCGTCCTCAACAATATATATGCTGCAAGTGTGAAGAACTTAATATGAAAATATAAAGTTCAACCTTATGTTCTCCTAAGGTTGAACCTTATATTTTCATGCCAAGCGTGCAACAGTTGTTGAATTGATGAAGAAGACATCGTTGAAGAACTCTACTGCTGAGTGCAAAACTCGTGACGATTTGGCGGTGTTAACTTTTGATTTCCTGCAAAACGCCCACTTGCCAGAAATACCTATTCAAGAAATATTGTATTTGACTCAGTTATCAGTTAATGTATTCAGTATTCATAACTGTAAGAATAGACAAGAGTATTTTTATATAAAGGATGGTCCAGTTAACGTGAGACAAGCGATTATCTCGAAAACGGTAATGAAAATGATCTAATCGCTGCCCCGGGCAAAACAAGAACCATACATTGCTACGTATGTGTATGGCTTTGGTTGAGATCAACAGATTTCAGAAAATAGAACAGTTTTTCCCCATAAGAGGGAATTCTTTTCTTCCGAATGATCGCGATTTTGGCATGGTCAAAAGATGTCTTAAGAAGCACGATATATTATATTCTCTCCATACTTACACAGAAATTATTGCTTCAAGTGCTAACAAGAAATGTATGATAAAAGAAATTTCTTCCAAAGATATTCTCGATTTCAAAAACTGGCCTAAGTATTACAAAAAAACTGCAAATTCTCTGGAATACTACAAAATCTCACGTTCATTATTTTCTTCATGAACATAAAACTCCGGGATATGTTGTTGCTTCAGATTGTATAAATGGATTAACATGCCACACATTTCACCTACACATTGGCCTTTAGGAAAATGCTTCCTTATATTGAAGAACCATACTTGAATTTTTATCAAGATATATTAAAATGGCCATCTAAAGCGGGACCAGGAAAATAATAAGTTTGTTTTTGTCAATATTTTCATTTTCTAATACAAATTTTTTATAGTTATTTATTATGTAAGTGTTTTAGACAGCATTTTATTCACGTAAGAATGTTTAAACGCGAGAGCGAAGCTCGAGCGTTTCATTTTCTTAAGTGAATAAAATCCATCTAAAACACGCATGCAATACAACGTTTTATCCACAATCACAGTCATTTAGAGTCAGAATCGCCAACATTTCATCTGATGTTATCAAAAAATGATTTGACATTTCACTCTGACAACGGTTGTCACCTCAAAAATCATTGCAATTAACTAAAAAAACATTGGACGGTGTTGAATAATTGTTGCTATTTTACAAGCTGGTTAATACTATTAATGGAAAGGAAGTAAAATATAACAAATCAAAGAATGAAATGTCTATTAATATAAATGATAATATAAATAATAAATAGGTTGTGATTGATTTAAGATTGTATTTTTCATTATTCCACTAGTGGAATAATAGTATATTATTATATGAGCATATAATGAGGGCTATTATTAATAACTATGACTATTATAATAATAGCTCATTATATGTGAGTAGAATGCTATGCTTTGTCCACAACTATTGAAATTCATTTTAAATTTATTTTTTAAATAAATTTTTGAATAAAGTTTAAACGTTAATGTGGCACAAATTCGATGTTAGCAACTGTAACCAACTTCACAACAAATTGTCAAAATTAAATGTCAATTTTATGAAACGTCGTTTTCTTTATGAAAATTAATTAATTTATGCTTAAATCATACGAAAAAAAGAATTTGTTTTGGTTTTTTTAATGTCAAACCTTTAAAAAGTCCTAAAAAGTTGAATTAAATTGACGTTTTTTGAAATTTTTACGTTTCAAATAATTATTATTAATCTGGTCAAGATGGCTACCCGTGAATAATGATTATTATTGACCGCTATTATTCACTCCGTGAAAAATGACTACCCTGTTGTTTTAGAAAACTCATTCATAAGGTATATATTATAAGGTAGTCATGGACAAAATAACTTTATTCCACTAGTGGATAAAGTGGTACTTATGAACCGTATAAAGGTTCATAAGTGTGGATAAAACTTCAATTATAAGGTGATCATGGATAAAATATATGTCCATATTGCTTTAAAAATAATATTCTTCCTGAAAATCGCTTTCCCATGCCCATGTGACAATACAAGAAAAACGAAATCAGTAAACAACATACAATTAATTGTAGAAACGTACTAAGTGCAGTTTTTTCATTTTGTTGTTTGCTTTATAGGAATTGCAAAAAACAATTAAATTCTCTTATGATAACATGTATTCGTAGTTATTAGTGATGGGAATACCGCTCACAACCGTGTCGCGCTCCAGGAACGGTTGCTATATAAAAATACCGTTCCAAAATACCGTGACCTTGAGCAAAAACAGCTGGTTTCGTAGCAAGTTAGAAAAAATTATATATTCCCTACCCCAGAATCGGGTAGTTTAAAAATCGCGCAGGAATGGTATGTTCCATTAGAATAATGCTCCAAAATATCGTTTATCAAATACCGAACCATCACTACAAATATGTAAGTATATTAGTAACGTTCTGTAACGGGTATTTTAAAATCGCGTGGAAGCGGTACGCTCCTCAAAAATACCGATCCAAAATACCGTTCTTCAAATACCGTCCCATCACTAGTAGTTATATACAGTTGTCCCCGGATCGAGTTACAAAGAGGAAAAAAATTTTTCAAACTCCTAAATCGCATGAATTTTATACTCTAACTATAAAAGTTAACTAATTATTCCAATTTTTATGTAAAAAATTGGATTTTTTTCTAAATTGAAAATTTTTCTAGCTCAATTTATGATATGTAACCATAGAAACCATAAAAGTTACAAGTTATGTTGGTGAGATATGATGAAAATAGATGGTGCCCGGTTTCTCGTACATTATAATATCGAATAGATATCGGAGCAATAGTTATCGGATCGATATCTTTTGACGGCGTGGCCGCTTTCTCGTACGAAAATGCATCGATATTGCGCTGTTGATCGATAACTATGGCGATATCGGTCATTTGGGTTTCTGAAAGGGCCGATAGGAGATATCGGAGCGATATCAGATCGATAACTATATCGCATGCAACAAGCACCGATATCGACTCGATAAGTGTGATTAATGACAGTGATGTGTGTTAAAAGATTGCGAATTTTGATTAAACTGTTCATCCCATGCTTGTTTCTTTACCATATTTGTAGATATCTTATTTCGTTTGATTTTCTATTACTGATTTTCGTTCCATAACTAATTCCACTAACAATTTTTTATCGAAAGAAGTAAAATTCTTCGTTCGTTTCGACATAGCGCGCGTATTATCAAACTAACCGTTTTCGAAAAAAGGGATAGCCCAAATTTTAACAGATATCTTTTATTGTACGTTAGTATAGTCTTTTGTAAATTATTTACTTATTTAAAAAAGGAAATAATTTAACTTAAATAATTAAGTTTTTAGTTTCTCTTTTTTGTTAATTGTTTTCTTTTACTAATCATTTTTGTTATTATTTGATGATTTTTGTTTGTTAATTTTTATTATTATTATTATAAATTCCTTGTCTTAGCTACTTTTTATTTTTGTTTATGTACTTTATTGTGTTTTATTAGTGGATGCTTCGTTGGGCTTGTCCCGTTTGAATCCCAAGTGTAATAAACAAATAAATAAATTATTTTACGAACTATTTGTTCAAAATTTTCACCGCCACCTATCTACGGGAATAAACAGGTAACAAGTAACAGTTTGTACCAGAACACCAACGGCCGATATCGACCCGTCATAAGATATCGATCCAATAACTATTGTTCCGATATCCATAGTTATCGAACGATTTTGTCAAAAAATCGGTTACTTGTTTATTTCCGCCGATAGGTGCCGGTAAAAATTTTGAACAAACAGTCCGTAAAATTATTTATTTATTTAGTTATTACACTTGGGATGCAAACGGGACAAGCCCAGCGAAGCATCCACTACATTGTTTTGGTAATCCAAAAAAGAGAAACCAAAATTTTAATTATTTAAGTTAAATTATTTCTTTTTTTTAATAATTAAATAATTTAGAAAAGAAAGATAACGTTACTAAAGTATAACAAAAGACATCTGTTGAAATTTGGGCTCTTCCTTTTTTTGAAAACGGTTAGTTTGATAATATGTGTATAATACGTAGTATAATTTTACTTCTTTCGATAAAAAATTGTTAGTGGAATTAGTTATGGAACGAAAATCAGTAATAGAAAATCAAACGAAATACAATATCCACAAACATGGTAAAGAAAAATTATGTATTTTCATGCGATGTTAACCATGAAAGAGAGAATTTATTTAGTCCTGTGCTATGGTACTAGAGAATCATGTTTTCGTGTAGTTATACAAAAATTCCAGCAAAAATATCTCATGTTGGGGCTTGCAAACTTATGAAAAAAGGAATACAGGAAAAGTATAATTTTCACATAAAAATGGGAATAATTAGTTAATTTCTATAGTTAGAATATAAAGTTCGTGCAATTTAGTAGTTTGAACATATCTGACGCATTATATATGCTAAGATAAGTTTGAAAAATCAGTAATAAATTTTTTTTTCTTTGTAACTCGATCCGGGGACATACTGTATATGAAATTTGTAATAAAAAATTTCGTGAAAACTCTTTAAATTAGAAAAAATATTTTTTTTTTACGTTTTTCTCATAAAAATGTTACTTACTCCCTTTCTGAAATAAACGATTCAATTGAAATGAGTTAAATAGTTACCTCTCCTTGAGTACCAGCACTTTGCCAAACTCGTCCTGGAACATCAAAATGAGCCATACTCTGATTAGATGAAACAGTAAACGAATTCACGCATAAACTAAACTCCGTGACGATAACACCATCATTATCCCATAATTCATATTTATAATAACGCCCAGGTTTGCCCACGGTAACTTCTGGAGAATTAATATCAGTGAGCATATTAAACGGATGTCGGTGACTTCGTTTCGTGTAAAAACAATTTTCGCAAAAATTGAAAGTTTCGCAAATTTTGCATTTGTATCGATTCCCTTTAATGGGAAACATCAAACATCCGCGACAGATTATCCCATCGTGACTACAAGGGACAACTTCCATTTCTGATATTAATCCGGTCCAATTTGGTTGTTTTGGGAAGTCAACTGTTAGATCGTGTCCGTTTAACGAAATTGCTCGTACAATCCCAACGCTATCGTGCGTAATATAGCCCCATTTATATTTTGGGGTTGAAACGGTTGGTTTAACGCGTACTTTATCGCCAACTTTAATTTGCGGGGTTGATAACAACGAGGGGGGATACCCCAACAATTCGACGTGGATGAATCGGAGCCAATAAGTGCTTATTCGATGTTGCCAATTAACCTAATTTAAAGTTTTTCGAGTTAAAATGGGATCGATTTTGATTTTTTTTAATTACCTGTAAGTTTAAATCATGAAGCCCTTCTCGATCTATTTTTATTACTTTTCCAATGTCCCCACAATTAACCTCTTCATAACTTTTACAGCATCGTACCAACATGCCTACCTCAACGTTGTCTCGTACGTACATTGCGTATTCATCGTTTGATAAGAAATCGCCTCGTTCTTTATATGTTATTGGTTTTGTTGTAAGACAATCAGCACCCTAAAAAAAATAAATTGTAAAATTACTTTTTATTGTTATGTATAGGTAGTTCATAAAAATGTACAACAATTTAACTCTGAATAACAATTAAAACTAGAATTAGCAATATTTGGGTTTAATCGTCTTAAGCTCTTACAGGCATGATGTTACGAATAGTGTACCACATTATTTGTGTCTTATGTTCTCTATAAACTCTTAGGCAATTCCATAAAGTATGTATAAAGATTTTCGAAGGCAATTGATTGACGGATTACTGGCAGAAAATTAGTTTTGTTAAAGCTGTTAACGCACAAGAAGCATTTGTATTGGAGTTCCACAAGGGCCAGTGTTGGAGCCTCTGCTTTTCGTCATTTACATAAATGACTTGCCTGCTTCAATATCTAAGTCTTCAATCATATTCTATGCTGACGAGATTACTTTAATCAGAAGACCTAAAATCCTCATTGATGTTGTTGCACTAAATCGGGCGTCGCGCTCTGAGGCTGAGGAGTGGTTTGCGTGTAACGGCCTAAATCTGAATTCCAACAAAACAGCTGAAGCTATCTTTACACTGAGAGGCGTTCAGAGGCGATTTGATGGGTGAGGAACTCACAGATTTTTTTTTGGTGTTTGCTTGGACCCTACATTGAAATGGGAACAGCATGTAAATATACTTTGAGGAAGGCTCAGCAGCAACATTTTTATGTTGCGCATTTTAGGTGGCAATGTGTCAGGACCTGAATTGAGAACTGCTTATTTTGCACTGTGTCAATTACTGTTATCATGTTCTCTGTTGGCCTGGGGGACTTTTTTTTTGAATCAACGGATGGATTTTGATGATTCTTTCTTCACGGTATAGGTTGACTTTTAAGGAAGAAATGTGTTGATGGTTTCTGACAATTGTCAACGTTTTACCCATATACGGGGTGTAAAAAGAAATTTAAGTTTTTTCTTCTAATTTTACACCACCCTGTGGAATTTATCAGAAAGAACCGCTACATTCCATTTACATTACGTTAGAATGGCAACCCTTCTCTACATATTCGTTCAAGAATCATCTCGATATCTCTTTTATCAAGGAAGATACACATTTTTTAAGTTTGACTTAATTTTGTTGAAATATAGTCCTTACTAATGAAACAAGCAGGCTATGAAATATCAAACAGTTTGACAGANTTTTTTTTTGAATCAACGGATGGATTTTGATGATTCTTTCTTCATGGTATAGGTTGATTTTTAAGGAAGAAATGTGTTGATGGTTTCTGACAATTGTCAACGGTTTACCCATATACGGGGTGTAAAAAGAAATTTATGTTTTTTCTTCTAATTTTGCACCACCCTGTGGAATTTATCAGAAAGAACCGCTACATTCCATTTAGATTACGTTAGAATGGCAACCCTTCTCTACATTTTCGTTCAAGAATCATCTCGATATCTGTTTTATCAAGGAAGATACACATTTTTTTAAGTTTGACTTAATTTTGTTGAAATATAGTCCTTACTAATGAAACAAGCAGGCTATGAAATATCAAACAGTTTGACAGAAATGCTTGTCAATTTTATTTACGCATTTAGCAAGTTGCTGCTTTGGGTTATTAAGTGTTTATTTGACATGGACCGTATTTCAAGACATTTAAACCGCGATGAGTGTGTTAAGGCAGTTACTTTAGCCAATGAAAGAATAAGTTATCGTGAAATAGGCTTGAGATTAGGAGTTTCTCATACAACAATATCACGTGCCGTTCAACGATTTCAAGAGACAAATGATCATACAAGACGACCTGGACAAGGAAGAAGGAGAGTCACAACACTACGCCAAGATCGTTTTATTAGACTTCGTGCTTTAAGGGAACGTTTTGTTACAATGAGAAACTTACAGATACAAGTAGCAGATGTTCATAATATTCGAATTAGTACTAACACTGTACAAAGGCGTCTCGCCGAAGGTGATTTGCATGCAAGGATTCCTGCCAGAGCACCAAATTTAAACGCAAATCATCGTAGAAGGAGATTGCAATTTGCCAGAGAACATCTTGACTGGAATGCTGATGACTGGGAACAAGTACTGTTCACAGATGAATCAAGGTTTTGTTTATACAGCTCAGATAGACGTTTAAGAGTAATTCGACGGCCCAATGAACGCTATGCACAGTGCAACATACGACCGACAACTTTATTTAATGGAGGATCTGTAATGGTTTGGGGTGGAATTTCGCTTACAGCACGAACAGACCTTGTTTCTTTGCGAAGAGGTTCATTAACAGGTGAAAGGTATATTACAGACATTTTATCGGAACACGTGGTACCCTTTGCTCCTTACATAGGAAATAATTTTTTATTAATGCATGATAATGCAAGACCTCATGTTGCCTATACGGTCCGTGACTATTTGGATGAAGTTGGTATACAAACCATGGACTGGCCACCCTGTAGCCCTGATCTCAATCCAATAGAGAATTTATGGGATAATATTGATCGTCAGTTAAGGGGCCGACATCCACCACCTATCGTTTTGGACGACGTTGAGAGGATGGTAAGAGAGGTTTGGGATGCAATTGATCAAGATCAAATTCGACGCTTGATTTTAAGTATGCCTCGTCGCTGTGAAGAAGTGATACGTAAGAGAGGCGGAAATACACGTTATTAGGTGATTTTGAGAGAATTGATTAAGGATTATGTAGTGTTTTTTAGTTTTCACCTACTTGTTTAAAATGTTAATAAAAATTCGTTACATTTAAACTTGTGTATCTTCCTTGATAAAAGAGATATCGAGATGATTCTTGAACGAAAATGTAGAGAAGGGTTGCCATTCTAACGTAATGTAAATGGAATGTAGCGGTTCTTTCTGATAAATTCCACAGGGTGTTGCAAAATTAGAAGAAAAAACATAAATTTCTTTTTACACCCCGTATATGGGTAAAACGTTGACAATTGTCAGAAACCATCAACACATTTCTTCCTTAAAAATCAACCTATATCGTGAAGAAAGAATCATCAAAATCCATCCGTTGATTCAAAAAAAAATACCTTTAAACTTAATGCATAATTTAGGTAGTGCGAAAATTTTGGAGAGTAGTGTATATTAGAGTGTCTGTTGTACTTGCACAACAATGTAGATAAATATACTGCCCACAGAGATATACACAGCTACAGAACCCGTAACAATCATAGGCTAAAACCTAAATGTTGTAGATTCTCTAAGTCACAGAAAGGTGTAGATTTTACTGCGGTCAAGTTTTAGAATAAATTACCTTTAATGGTTACACTTTTATCTGTGAGCAAGTTTGTAACATTGATAATTTCTGCTGTAGAGAGGTTTCTATTATTCTTATTTGGAGTTTCTTGAATATAAATTTTTTGATAGGGATTTTGTGGCATTGGGCATCGGTCGTGACAACATCAAATCATAGAATGATGATCTACATATGATTTTACTATGTTTGTTCTTTTTTTCTCTTTGTAAGTTTTTTCTATATGACGAGTGTAAAAACTGTATATTTTGGATGCACAAATAAATATTATTATTATTTTTATACGCAGTACGCGATATATATGTGCAAGATATAGTATCAGAACAAAGCAAGTTCGCACAGAATGGATACGTAGATTATATCACTATATGTCAAGTACCTTTATGCTTATCAAAAACAAAAACATGCTTTTAGGACTATCATAATGGGGGTAAAATTAAAAAAAAAATTGTTTAGAAAAATGTTATTTATAATTATTGTAATATTTTTTGTTATAGGACTAGTACCACCCCACCAGGAGGCGGTTTAAGTACCAAGAGGACGATTTTATATTTCTTTACGATATTTAATATAGTTTTTGTTAATATTAATAAAAAACTATGAAAATTTTTCGAGTTTCATTTTTCGTGCTTATTTGTCGACTTAAAAAACAGTTGAATTTTTTGTGCTGGTAAGAGTTAAGACACGTACGGCTAAAGTATAAAACTTACATATTCCTCGGGAACAGCACGATGGTCCGCATCTCCACGACCGGAACATTCTTCATCCGAACTATAATAACTGCTAATTGAATCAATATCAGATATCGCCGTTTCTGTGTGTTCCAGTAACCATGAAACTACAACTTCCGGTGTAGCCAAACATTCAGATGTAACACCTTAATAGGGGAAACAAAAAATATGTAATCGTGAACGTTTAAATAATACAGTGAATTTCACTTAAGATGCAATATACAAAAATATATTCACATAGAAACCAGGGCGTACCTACTTACTTTGTCCCATATAAAATGCAACATTTCAATATAATTTGACATTACAGTAAAAACCTCGATATAACGGATCAATACGGAGAACGCAGTGTCAGTTATAGCTCAATAAAAATATAGAATAATCGAAATGATACATGAAACAATAGAAATGTATAGAACTAACATTAGATCTAGCACTAGAAATATTCCGTTTAGCCGTACCTCTCTTAAGACGGCTGATAGGTAACGCTAATTAGCATAAAATATCACTATGTTGCATATTTTTATTGAACTAAAACTACAACTAACACTAGACCAAGAACTAGAAAGTTTTAAACCCGAATGTTTCTAATTTTAGGTCTAGTGTTAGTTCTAGTTTTAATTGTTATGCAGCGCTAGATTGTTGGATACTTTTATTGAACTAAAAGTAGAACTAACACCAGACCAAGAACTAGAATCATTCGGCTTTAGCCGTCTTATGAGACACACGGCTAAACCCGAATGTTTCTAGTTCTAGGTCTACTGTTAATTCTAGTGGCAGTGCAAATGTAAAACTAGAACTAACACTATACCTAGAACTAGAGTCATTCGAGTTTAGCCGTCTTTAGAGACGGGCGGCTAAAGCCAAATGATTCTAGTTCTAGGTCTAGTGTTAGTTCTAGTTTTAATTGTTATGCAGCGCTAGATTGTTGTATATTTTGATTGAACTATAAGTAGAGCTAACACTAGATCCACAACTAGAATCACTCGGGTTTAGCTGTATTGAGAGATGTGCCGCTAAATCCGAATGTTTGTAGATCTAGGTCACAGATCATACAGATGCGGCACTCCGAGCGGCACCTTTCATGTTTTAGGAGTGGGGCGGTGGACCTTCATTCTCAGAGCCCTATAAATAGGTTTATAGAAAAGGCGCCAAATTCAAACATAAAAATATTTATGGAAACTAAAATGTATTTAAATATCTAACATTTATTTAGTTTATATATTTATAATAAAATTATGATCAATTAAAATAAAATTGTCTGTATCATGTAATTGTTTACTGTATTGGGAATAGAAAAAATTTTATACTCTCTCTTTTCTTTTTCGCCCCATAAAATGTAGATTTACACCCGCTATAGCTGCAAATTATCCCGCCATTTAATGAAAGTACAGATTTTTTTGTATTGGTTTTTCCTTTGTCTATTGGCTCGATTAAAATAATGTTTAAACAATAATTACTCAATTTCACTTAGCTTGTAATGAAAGTAAAACAACAACACTAAATAAAAACACTCCGAAATAAAAACGTAATAACGGTCAGAAAAGCAAGGGATTATTCATCAATTTGAGGTAAACAAAATTACTTGCATGCACAAATTTTAAAATCATAAGTTATTATTGGTCTAGAGATATTGTGGGTCGACTTAATTGTCGAAAGTAGCCGAATATTCATTCGGTTGTTCTCGTTGGACCTTTAAATTGGTTTCGTACCTATCTCTGTCTTGAAATGACCCTTTCTTTCTGAGTGCCGCATCTGTATGATCTGTGTCTAGGTCTAGTGTTAGTTCTAGTTTTAATTGTTATTCAGCGTTACATTGTGGTATATTTTTATTGAACGAAAAATAGAACTAACACTAGACCCAAGGTAGATGAATATAAAGTATGCTCACACGGTGAATGAATTGGATCTCGTGCGTCATAGCTTAGCAACAACTATAAATTGCCTAAGTCTGACGTCACAGTGATGGGCTGAGCTTATACCGACTCCAAACAATTTAGTTGCTAACCCCAGTTGCTAATCATAAATCGCAATATAAATAATAAAAATGTAATTTAAAAAGTCATTTAGTTTATTTTATTTTAACACTAATTGAAACAGTGCATATAGGGATTTACAGTTAGCAAGAAAGCACGAAAGCAACGAAATTGTTTGGAGTTGGTATAAGCTCCGCCCATCACTGTGACGTCAAGCTTAAATTGTCTATTGTCTACTATTGTAAGTGTAGGTTTGTTTGCAATGGCTATAACGCATGACGCAGTTATGACGTGCGAGATCCAATTCGTTCACTGTGTGAGCATACCTTATATTGATGTACCTTGACTAGACCTAAAACCAGAAACATTCGGATTTAGTCTTGCGTCTCTTAAGACAGAAACTCTGAATTATCATAACGACGTCACCTTTTCCAAGCAAAACTTTTCTTTTGCAATACTACCCAATGCCTGTACTATTAAGCTATGTTGCATTTTATGTGGTATAGTGTAAATGCATAGTAGTTTCATAACTATGGTTACTACATTCATATATTGCGAGTTATATGAAGCGCCCTTCACACAATCAATATATATTGTCAATAAAATATTATCAATATGGCCAATAAATATTGACAAACTGTAATTGCCTCAGACTATCAATATTTATTGACAATCTACTTAATTTTGCGTTGGCAGTTAAAGATGTCATGTCATGCTTACATGCGTTAATGAACCATCCGGGGAGTTAATAACACTTTCGGCCATTAAAGTATATCTGTCTGAATTCATTATTACGCGATATAATCCGTAATATAATCCTACTAACGTAGGATTATCAATATTTCCCTCAGACTGTCAATATTTATCGTCAATATATCAAACATTTCCGTTTTCGTCAAACCATCCCATCAATACTTTTAATATTGACAATATGTCAATCTTTCTACTCACACGTTCAATAATATTGTCAATACTTAGATATTGACCATATATATTGATTGTGTGAAGGGCGCTTTAAATTCTCAGTATACTTACCTAAACATTTTAAAGCATGCTCAATACTTTTTCTAGTAAATCCCATCTCCATAATTTGCGCAACAATCGGGCTTACAACAGTTTGCGTTTCTCTCCGTCTCTTCGATTGTTTATCGCTAGGAACGGATCGAACGGAAGTTTCGCTATTTGGCGTCGCGATTTCGCCATAAGTATCCCTTGCAGTAGAAGAACTCGCCTTACCCTCCCCCGAATTTCGATCGCAATTAGCTTGTGCCGCCAAGAATTGGCTCAAATTCAAAGCGGCCAATTGCATATCTTCAAGCGTAAAAATCGGCATCAACGGACTTGGTTGGGTCGCTTTCGCCAACAATTTTTGTATTAACAAAACCGGTTGTTGATTGAATTCCTCTTCAATCGATTGTTGTTCTTCATCGACCGAATTAACCGCAAATTTTAATACTTTCCGTAATCTGTATTGGTTGGTGTGTAAAACTTTTGATGCGTTTAAAACGCTTAAAAAGTTTTGTTGCGTTCTTAAATAATTAAAATTAATTTGCCCGTAAGATAATTTCCCGGGATTGTTATTATTCATTGTTGTCAGTTTCGTGGTTAAAAGAGAAGCCCAAATTTTTGTTAAATTTTCACCCAGCGGCATTCGTTCTAAATTAAATGTAATTTGGTTTGACAATTTTACACTTGAGAGGGTTATTTTTTGAATTTCACCGGTTTCGTGGATTAAAACGCATAATTTTCCTTTTTGAGTTACTCTAACAATGGTACCTTGGGCGTTTTCGATTTCAACGATGGCCCCGATTCTCGGGCGAACATCCCAAGCTCCGATTACGTTTAAAGATGACGTAACCATGTATTGTTGTTGATCTGTTGTGTAACCATCATTAACAGCTGTTATTAAACAATCATCGCTTAATAAATACGCGGCTAAATTAAGTTTGTTGATTAAAATTGAGTTTAAAACTTGATTCCAGCCAAGAACTCCATGTAAAGTTCTTAATAAATTAATTATTTCTTGGGATAAAGTGCTGCTGTGGGATTGAGTGAGAAGAACTTCCGACTTTAATTTTAGTTTTAATTTATTGAATTCGTTCGAATTTGAGTTGTTGTTGTCGTAGAGATTCGTGAGGATTATTTTTCCTAAAATGTTTAATAATAATTCGAGTAATGGGGTTATTTCGGAATTATCCATATTCCAAGATTGAAGGATCGTTTGTAATAAACGAACCGAAAGTATTTGTTTGGGTAAATTAACGTTTGTGGCGGAAATAAAATTGATTAACATATTAATCCATGGTCTAGTACTCAAATGTTTACATATCTTCGTCGATTGCGCAACACTTCTAACTAAAGTTAAATCACACCATTCGTAATTTCCGGCTCGCAAAGTCGTACAAAATAAGCTACATAACCCATGAATCGTGTTTTTATCTAAATTATCTTTAGCTAATCCGGCGCTAATCGTAACATTTCTCAAAAAATTCACTGAACTATCTCTTAAAATTTTAATTAATTGGTTATTTGGGTGATCAGAGCTCGATTTTAACGAAATCTTATCAATGGGAACCATCCCATCTTCAACTTCCGTTTCTGACGAAACCGGAGATGGTGGAGAAGCTAAAGTTAAATCATATTTTCCTTCTTTACCCATTCGGTAACTATTCGTGGTTCCATTCGCCCACTCAACCCTAACCCATCCATCATCACTCAACGTTCCAATTACTTTCCCTTCACCAGGAGGTCGTCCATCTTGATCCGCCCATTTCCAATCGACCCCTCTAACTACTTTAGTCCCCAATTTCATTAAAGCCGCTAATTCCGGCCCACGAAGCGCCGTCGTTTTTTGTTTAGCACCTTCAACCATATCGGCGTATAAAACGTAAAGTTCCGATTTATTTGAGGCTATGTTTAAATTTGAAATGTTCAAATTCGAACTGATATTCGAATTACAATTTTCGTAATATCCGGTTTGACGGAGAAGTGTTAAAACGGAACTTATCGCACCGGAATTAATTAAAGCACTTAATTCGGATGAAACGTAATGATTTGACGATAAAATCGATAAAATTGTTAAAATCATTCTTGTTCTGGGGATATCTCTTAATAGTGTATAAGTGGTTAAGTTTGAATTAATTTTTTGAGTTGATTTTGGTTTCGTTTTGGCATCTTTTAAAATATAATTTCTTAACGAGGTTATGCACCAATCACTTATTGACGATTGGAGAATTAAAATTTCGGTTTTTAATGATGGCGAGACCAACTGGATGTCATTTAAGCAATGATTTAAACCAAGTCCTTGATTATTTAATAAGGAGTAACCTAAATATCCGTTTAAAATTAAATATCTTGTCGATGTTAATAAATATTTTTTTTGTAATAACCCCAAAAGCATCTCTAAACCTTCTTTTCTTATCCTGCACCTTTTCACTTGGCAATACATGGCCCATTTTAATGTTTCAACATCGCAATTTTCGCGGACCACAAAATCTAAGATTCCGCTCATTAAATAGGCTTTTTCGTTACAAACTTTTCTCATTTGCTTCTCTGTTAATTTAAATAACAGATTTGTTAAGTTTTCACAACCGATTTTTTTATCTTTTTTATCTTCAACTTTCATCTCGAGTTCTTTCCCTTCATCGACTACTTTCTCAACGTTCCATTTTTTGCTAGAATTTGACGATAACGAATCAGACATAGCTCTTTCTGCCGCTGCTTTATCAGCACCATTTTTAATTTCATTATTAACGTCATCAGTTTCATTTTTTGTTTCGGATAATTTCCCATCGGAAACGCATTTTTTAATGATTGGATTTTGGGCGACATCTTCCGTTGATTTTCGCCGCTCAACGCTTTGAGATTGGATGGTTGCGTTAACGATGTCTTCCGGTTTTTGAATGTCTGATGTGTGTTTTCCACATTTTAAATGTTTAATCACTTTCTTAACCAACGTTTTAACTCGGGGTTCGCGATAGAGGACGTTGAAATTCTTGTAAGCTTCCGTTTCGACGCTAACGGCGGGTTTGACATCGTAAAGAAGGAAACGGCATTTTTCTAAGGCGGGGATGCAAATTTCTTTGTAGCTACAATTTAATTCTTGGCGAGTTTTTATTAGGTTCCATTTCGATTGGTGTACTAGTTTTATCATTTCGGCTAGTGGTTTTGGAAGTTTTATTGTGGGTTGGGTTAAATCTAAAAAAATAAAGGGAATTTAAAAAATGAAATTTAAGGCGCCTTTACCTTAATTGGCGAACCCGTTTTTCACAGCAATTATGAGAGATATCAAAATATTTTTCAAATAAAATGTTTCTATATAAATATAAAGGTTGATCTATATATTGGTTCTACAATGTGCTGTTTGTTTGGGAAGCGCATTTGCAGTTAGAAAATAAACATAAAGGGGCACTTTTTGACCATAAAATTGATAATAAAGGTTGTAACCAAAATTACAATTTATTTAGCTTACTTATGCTGTACAAATGCAACTTCGGTCGGAAGGTAAATTAGATGCAGCTGATGCAATGAAGCAAATAGTTTTTTCTACCACTGTCCACTTTCTGGAGACGAAGCAATATCGCTGTTTGTAGAAGCTAAGTTAACAAAACTTCAGTATGTCATGAGAAATACTGCAAAAAGTCATAATTCAAATCTTTATCCAGATTATGAATCTATTACACTTGTAAAAAAAAAGATATCCAAGTAACCTCAGCATAACAGAAGACAAAGCGGAAGTACCACTCCAAAACTTATTGGATCACACTACTTTAAGATAGTTTGAATCTTTAAGACTAGTTTTCAATGGACTGTTACCTGAAAACTGTAACAATCTTCATTTGATAACAAAATGGGAGTTTGATTACAGTTCTGAGATGAGCCAATATAAACAGAAATTTTCTGATTTTCTAATATTTGATGCTAATTTGTTTTTGTCATCTCTGATGCTTATTCAGTTATTAAATGGAGATCCTTCCTCAAAACAAAGTAGAGTCATTTGGAAAAATCCCAGACCTTCCTCTATCCGATTTTGTAAACTTATACGGATGATGAATCTGGATATCAGTTCGATTTGTCGTCGTTACATGCTTGGATCCGCTTCTTTGAATGTTTACTTCACCTTTTATACAAATTAAATATTCAGCAGTTGCAAGCTCGGGACAAAGAAACCCAAGAAAAAGTTGCAAGTAATAAGAAGCGAATCCAAGAATTAATTCATAAAGAACTAGGGCTTTTAGTGGACAGGCCATAGTAAGGATTTGACAGCTCAAATGATGGCAATACTGTTCGGCAGTTTTTTGAAAACGCTACATCTTCAAAAATTACTGGAATTAACGAAAAGCTAATAACTAGATTCAGAATAATTTTGTTAACTATATCTAGCAGTTGCGCTGAAAAACTTGTAAAGTAGTACTCTTGGTATAACATGCCAACCACTGTACACCAAATTTTAATTCATAGTACCAATATAATGAAACATTTCATTGTAGCTATAGGGCAACTTGGCGAAGAAACCCAAGAATTGGGGAATAAGGACATTAAAGTGTATAAAGAATGTAATGCAAAAAAAATTTCCAGAAAAAAAATATGGAGATGTGTTTCACAACCTACTGATCTCATCTGATTCATCACTAACATGACAAAACATACTGCAAAAAAAAAAACAAAAAATATCCAAACCAAGTTTTACAGTTTTTCAATGAACCTTTAGTAGATAAAAGAACAAATTGAATGCACTAACCATTTGCAAAGGAATTATTGCACTTAATTGAGGTAGCTAGCCAAGACATGCGCAACAAATTAAAAAAATATATTGAAAGATTCAGAATAGAAAACAAGACCTCTCTTTACAAGATCAAATAGCTTCACTTACGCTTGATATTAGGAACACCTCATACCTTGTTTTTGGACATGATAGGTGCGCTTCTTATTTGTGTCACGGTTCGAAGGAGTGTAGAATATTCGACGACATAGAAGTAGCTGGCAATTTGAATGCTGAATGCTTATTTAGCATGCCAGCAGCCTTGTACTAAATACGAACAACAATGCTACGGAAACATACAACTCTGTAATCTCCAAATTTGTGGGGGGAGGAAACGTATCAATTTTGCATTGAAACATTTATACGAAATGAAGTGTAATGCTGCTGCAGTAGCCTATAATGTTGGTGCAAATTATTACAAATTATTAATTAATAATAGTAGAGGACAACACACTACTAAATATGTTGAACGAATCCGCAAAAGAAAATTAATGGCAGCTTCCAGACATTGTCAGTATCCATAATAATAATCCATAATAAAAAAGCGGAGAAAAATGTTAACCGCCAATAAAAATTATGGTTTTACTGAAGATGAAAGAAGAACTGATACAGTGCACTGAAGAGGAAAAGACAAAATTTTTACAGTCACTTGTTAGAACAACAGCAGAAATAACTGAAATTGTAAAGCAAACTAGAGAGCAGTATAGAAATGAATTTTGGATTCAAATTCGAAAGAAGTTATTAACTGCTTCAAATTTTAGACGTGTTTGTAAAATGCGTAAATCAACAAATCCCAACATATTTATACATAACCTATTGTATCCACAATTTTTGCTTTGGTGAAGGCAAAGACAATAGGTCAATCTAGGCCACCTGTGCAAACAAGACGGAAAATATACTGAGGATGCTAAGGAATCCCTGGAGTTCCGCCTATATTTCTGCAAAATGGCATAGACCTGCTCCCAGTAATAATATCTCTATACATAGCAAGCTACCTACAGTATGGAAGAAAGTGTAGGTGGTCTTCATACCTAAAGGTGGTAGGCGTTCAAACGCTGATCCCAAGGCATACAGAGATGATTCTACATTAAAAATCATGAAGAAAAGTTTAATAAAGTTCGGTCCGAAAATGCTCCCTAAGAGCGCTAGAGCCCTTTAAAGAAGATCCCTCAAGAAGTATTTTTTTAGCGTTATCTCAAAAACAGCAAGGTCTAGAATGCCGAAATTTGGTGTACAGTGATATTTTTGCGTGACAAATATGATAACTTATATACTTTATGAGTGCCATCTTTAAAGGGGTCTAGCGCCGTTAGGAAGCATTTTCGGACCGGACTTTATATAAAGTTTTCGTCATGATTTTTGATGTAGAATCACCTCTTTCAATATATAGACGCAATTTCCGGACACCTATATGTATATACGATAGGAGGCAGCTTTAAGTGCCTTATCACTGAAAACTTGCTCTTCACTCAAGCTGATGCATGGTAACCTCAAAGGACACCTCAAAATACTCAAGAACCCATGATTGACTATACCACTTGATTGAAATTAAAACAGACCTTATACCGACAGAATACAATTTCGACTAGCCATATAAGGTCATATTTAGAAGCAGGGATGATTGGACGAAGGGTGGGTCTCAACTAAAAAGAGGAACCCTTGTCAGGTACACGGATGCTTTAAAGACAGTTGCATCCGCAGTAGGCATGGACATTAGTGGACCAAGAAGCCGTATTAAAACTGGCGCATATAGATGAGTACCCTTATTGTATGTGTATTAACTTTTTACATTTTACTTAACAGAGGTGTACAAAACTATGGAATAAATGTAATAGGCCAAAATCTGCGGAAATAATAAAAACAGTTTTATCTTCGTATCTAGTTACGCCTAGCATTACAAGATGGAACTCACTGTATGATTCAGTTTAGAAACTAATAAAAGTCAAAACCAGATTAGGTGAACTACGCTACAAACTGGAAATTTCTACTTTTAATGAGGAAGAAATTGAATATTTGGAAGAATATGCAAGAGTAATGCAACCTATCGCAGAAACTATCGACTTTCTTCAAAGGGAACAAAATATGTTCCTTGGTTATTTCATTCCCACCTTAGAGTCCATCAAAATAAAAATGCGACGTTTAGCTTCCGAATACTTGAAATTTCTTACGCAAATTAATATTCAAATGCAATCAAAGTTACTGCAAAGGTTTGAAAAATATTTTCATTTACACTCTGACTCCTGGGATGCAGTTATTGCAGCAATCATCATCCCCGATATCAAATTAAAATTTTGCAAAGTCTTGCTGAGTCATACACTCTAGATCAGTGATGGTGAACCTATGACACGTGTGTCAGAGGTGACACGCGAATTGATTTTGAACGACACACATCCACTGAGACAAGAAATTCCATAATTCAATTTATACTAATTATACAGTGTGTCCGTAAAGTAACGGGTATAGGCGATAAAATCATAATAAACGGTTTATGGAAAAATCCCTGAAACGGGTCTAAAGATTTAAATTTTTTCCGCCATTTTTAAACGAGTTATGATGTCATCGATATTTTTTTTTAAATGGCAATCCCCCATTTTTATTACGGAATATGAAAGAGGATTTTTTTCTGAATCTAGTACAGTCAATATTAATATTGATTACATAAGAAAATTTTCGAGAAAAATTACTTTAAAGTTTAATTACTTCAAATTTTTATAATGATAAAATTAGCAGTAGCCATGAGTAACTATGGCAACCAATTATTTTAAACAATTCCCTGAGTAGTAAAAACTGATTTAGTAAAGCTTTTTGAAGTGTGGTGGCGCGCCATCTTGTTGGAATAACTGCCGTTGGAATTGAGTTGTGTCAACATTATCGGGATGGAAGGAATGACATCGCTTTGAAAAAATTTAAACATCTCTTTCCACTTAAGGTTCCCTCAAATCTTTTGCGAATATTGGGTGTGCGACTTTCTTGGCTAATTTGGATTTTGGGTAGCGCAATACCGATAACTTTGTCTATTTACTTGTCCACTCAATGTAAATGCCCCTTCGTCGAAAAAATTATGTTTTTGACAAAGTCTGCGTCATCGTTGCAAAATTGTTGTTGCAAAAACTACAATTCATTGCTCGTGAATCATGTTTACTTTATGGGAATGATATTTTGCGGGTTTTAAAATTTTATGAACCGTTGATTTACTAATGTCCAAATTAGACCCAATATTCCTTACAGTAACATGAGGGTTTTCTTACCCAGCCAAAACCACGATTTGTTGAACTTCCCTTGACATTGAAGATGGCGTTGGAAAAAATTTATTTGTAGCATGAATCACAGTATTTATCAAACCATTTCATTTGATACCTCGCTCATGAAAATCAGAATGTAAATGACAGAGTTACAGCTTGGGGCGTTTTTTATCTGACACCGCAATTTCTTATAAACCGCAAAAAAATAAATCTTTCTTTTACAGTATATGAAAATACCAAATACTTATTACAATTTTTATACACAGCAGCATATTGTTCACTAAGAGTTTTGAACACGTTTTGACACGTCCAGTTCAAAAGGTTCGCTATCACTGCTCTAGATCATGTTCGAGATAAAGTTAAAGACTATGCGCTGCAGTTTAAAAGACAACCGGTCGAAGAAAATAATTTACAGCCTTTCCATAAGTGCTAATACATCATTTCTCGAATTCGAAGACGAGTCCACAGGTATTTGATTAAAAGAAACCAACCTACGACAATTTTGTAAATAACTTCCTTGTTTTAGATGAAAATACTTGAATGACGATGATAGGAGCATTGATGCTTTGTACCGCTTTGCTATTATAAAACAAATGTTTTTAAAATACAACACGTATCTTCCTTCCTCTGCGCCAGTGGAAACATTTTTTTCCTTTGCTGGAATTGTCAATCGATCGACAAGGCAAAATCTAACTGACCGTAATTTTGAAACATTTCCTTATACTGCTTCAGCTTATACAGTCTTACTTTTATTCTTCAAGAAGCAGTGTTATATTACTAAATAATGTTAATTACCACTAAAGGTTTTCACTATCACTAAATATTTAGTGGTAGTGCAATTTTTTTCACTATCACTAAACTGAAGAAGTAGTGGTAGTGAAACTCTTATTGTATTTATTTTTTAGTGCATTATGCCCAACCCTGCCAGGCAGCAATTATAATAATAATCCACACTTTACAAATTCTAAAATGACCAACTGGGGTAAGAACCACGAAGCAATTGCCGTACGGGAGTTTGAGCAACAATTCAATAAAAAAGTAGGAAGCTGCGGTATTTTTATTTGCCAGGATCATCCATATTTAGGTGCCTCCCCAGATGGTGTAATAAATAGTAAAGAAATAATTGAGGTAAAATGTCCTAACACAGCAAGCAAATTGACACCACAAACCAGTACAACAGAACAAAATTAAGTATTTAAAGTACGTCGGAGATAACATACATTTGAGTAAAAATCACAATTATTACTACCAAGTTCAAGGTCAACTTGCCATAACGAGGGTAAAATTGTGTTATTTTATTGTAGCCTATTTGTAGAAGAAATAGAATTTGACAAGAAATTTTAATTAAAAAGAAATTTCGCTCCCTAATTATTTATGTTGATAACATTGTGTATCATCTATTGATATTACTAAAATTATTATATTTTTTACTGTTTTAAATAATTACCTACTGTTATTAATGTGAAATTAATTAGGCTAAAAATGGTATTTTAATTAATTTATCACATCATTAGATTAATTCAAATCAATTGCTTCCTGTATATCATAGATTTTTAAATGCATGAATGAAGCAAACATTACTTCGCGTAATACGTTAAAATCGCGCATTGCCGGTAATATAAGTCTTCTTTTTGATAAGTTTGACTGTATAAGTAAAGGCGCCTTAAAAGTAAAACTGAACTTACAAGCATCTAAAATCGGCAGTAACACATAACCCAAACCTAAATGCTTTATTAAAATCGCATAAAGCACCCGTCCAATCTCTTCTATTGGGTGCTCAAAAGAAAAATCGGAATGGCTCAAAAAATTATTTTGTTTGGAATGTTGCTCGACCACAGCCAAAAACGATTTTACATAAGTATCCTGAAAAAAAATTAAATAAAATAAAAAAGTGGCTTAATAATAAAATCTTACCGATAATCTACTTTCTGCTAAAGCAGTTATAAACGAATTTATCACATCAACGGGCATCTGCAACTTCTTCATACCCTTCTCACAAACTATTTTTGGTTCAGTCGGTGTATTTCCCGGCGAAGAATTTGTACTTCTCCGCTCACCTTTTTCCTCCTCGAACGGATTTGGTGGCTCAATGATTTGTAGGCCACCGATTAAAAAGGGGGAATTCAAATAACTCTCACAATCCTTTTCTGGTTGTTGCAGCAATAAGCTCTCACTAAGATAATGCGCGTGCAAACCCAATAAATAACCCAAATGTCTTTCCGTGTCGATTAAAGCACAACAAAATGGTAAACAATCCAAAGGAGTTTGAGGTAAATCCGGTTCCGGTTGACAATAACTCCCCACGACGTAATTTTCCATTAATTGCATCAACGACAAACTATGCGGGATACTATTAAAGACATCGCTTGCATCTTTCCCGGCGTATTTTTGTAGGGTTTCGATAATGTTGGCGTCTTCGGATCGAAAATCTTGAATATCGTAGACTTTACTGTTGATGACCACCCATAAACCGCCGTCTAAATTGTGGTTTTCGAGGTCTGCTTTTGGGATTAATGGTAGTTCTTCGACGCGACATGTTGAATTTGTTGTTGTTGATTTCGATGTTGTCGAGCCTGGCCAAGCGATATCGTCCGAATCTAAAGCTTCGATGTCTGGGCAAAGCTTGCAAAGTTTATCGAGGGATACTAATAAATTATCGAACACTTTTAACCAATCCATGGTGATTAGAAAATTATTTTTTTGTTGTTGAAGAAGGATTAATGAAACTACTAGTTCCGGTAGAAGTATTTCTGAAAAGGGGAAGTCATGATTATAACGGTAATAAGAGAAAAAAAAATTTAAATTAATTTATTAAAATCTCATTTTAATCAAAATACCTTTCATTTAAATGCAGAATAAAAAGTTAAAAATAAAAGATAAAGGAAGTAAGAGAATTGTTGCCCCAATAAGCAACAATGGCAACTTTTGCAACAACTTTAGACACCCTTTTACTATATCCCCGATAGTTTTAACAGGATTCCGCAAGAAACGCACTATAAAGTCGATAATTTTAAATGGCAACGTAACAATAATTTTCAAAATTTTCAAAGGCAACAATAGCAATTTAACAATTTTGAATGGTAACGTAATCAACCATTTTGTCACATGGAATATCAAGTCCAATATCGAAGCCGTCATAGTGATGGGAGCCATCAAAATATGGATCGGTAAGTATAACAACCATATCACGAATCTTACCGGAGCTAAAATCTGCTTTACGACCCATATAATCGGACTTAAAAGAAATTTAATCGGCCCGATCACGAAATCATTGATCGGATGAATAATCAACAACTCAATAGTTTCAAAAATAGGTTTTAACGGATATAATATCAAATTCATAAATATTTTGAATGTTATTGCCGCAGGCGGTATCTCGACACCTAAAAATAAAATCGATTTATTTTGAAATTTTTATATTACAATTTTAATTTACTACTGCTTGTTTCACCACATGGTTCCTCAGCTTTTATTGGCTAAAATTAAATCGTCACTTAGTAAAGTTATGTTGGATGAATAAATGTAACTACCTGAAAGCAGAGGAGGGTTGCAAACGAAAAAACGATCCATAACAAAGCCATTATTTTTTCCCCTGGACTTGGTTAGTTATAAAAGAGTTAATTTAATTTTCTCCGCACTGATTGTGCGGTATTCAAAACGATAAAGACGTAATGAATTGATAATGAAGGAAATATTACACCCACCATAAAATGTGGGTGAAAATGTGATCATTTATTAATTATTGTTCTATAGAAAATGTTTAACTTTAAACTAATATTATTAAGCAATATTATAATATAATCCCTTATTATTATTTAGTATGCAAATGAAGTAAATGTTTGAGTTAATTTTGACACGATCTTTTTATTAATTTGATTTAAATGATTATTTATTTTTATCTTTTGCTATACATATCGGAAATTTCATATAACTCGCAATATATAAATGCACTAACCATAGTTACGAAATTACTATGCACTTACACTGTCCCACATAAAATGTAACATAGCGTAATAAAGTTTGCATAAAAGTGTTGCTTGGAAAAAGGTAACGTTCTTATGATAACCCTGAGTTTTCGGCCGTCTTAAGAGACGCACGGCTAAACCCGAATCATTCTAGTTCCAGGTCTTATGTTAGTGTTAGTTCTAGTGATAGTGTAAAACTCGAACTAGCATTAGACCGAGAACTAGAAACTTTCGGATTTAGCTGCACGTCTCTCAAGGCAACTAAACCCGAATGATTCTAGTTCTAGGTCTTGTGTAAGTTCTAGTGATAGTAGTAGTGCAAAACTGGAACTAACACTAGACCGAGAACTAGAAACATTCGGATTTAGCCACACATCTCTCAAGACGGCTAATCCCGAATGATTCTAGTTCTAGGTCTTGTGTTAGTTCTAGTGATAGTGCTAGTGCAAAATTCGAATTAACGCTAGACCGAGAACTAGAAACATGTGGATTTAGCCGCACGCCTCTCAAGACGGCTAAACCCGAATGATACTGTATAATTTTATTAAAAGATAGGAATCGCACACTACAAAATTTACATTTGCAGGAAAAAATGTAACAACAAACGCATTTTGTATTATATTTTGTACAATATTTATCGAATACTGCAATTCGGATGCAGAAACTGAGGAAAAATATTGCTCAAACTTACTTAATACGTACGTTTAATATTAATAATACTAACGTAATATGTATTCTAAATAATAATTAAATATAAATGAAGCTTTAAACTAAACTGTCAAAAAAGAGAACGTTAAGAGAAAAGCTTTTGAAAAAAGAATGTGTAACAGAGTTTAAATTAATATGTTTATTTAATAAGACATAAGACATTTTTAATATTTTTCTGTCATCACGCTGCTTGGATACGCGTACAACGCGGACTAGATGACGCGGCAATCATATATTCGTTACAACCTTCCCCTTTGGACGGAACTGGCGTCTCGCGTGTTGTCCAATATGGGTTGTTGTTTACAGGGTCTCCTCGGCGGCGGATCGGCTGCAGCGGTTGCGGGTGTATTCCTTGTACTTTTCGGTATGGTAAGTGCCAAGACTTTTGTCTGGTTCTTCGGGTGATACGATTTCGTATGTTGTTGGGGTCACAACTTTCGCAACTAGATACGGACCATCACGACGAGGTGCAAACTTGCTGGTGAAGGCAGCTTTGCTTTTACTTAAGGCATGTACGTCAGCCAAGACCTTATCCCCAATAGCGTAGGAAGGTCCAGCGCGACGGTGAAGATCAGCATTGAATTTTGAGACGTCCTGATGTTTATCGGCGACATCATGAGCTGTTGACAAAACTTCTTGTAACTATAATAGAAAAGGTGTAATTTGTGACACAAAAGGAGCTTCTTGTATGATGGCACGCAGGTCTCTCTCAGTATCGTCGGGTGTTCTCAACTCCCTTCCAAATGTGAAGAAAGCGGGCGTTTTTCCAATAACAGCACTAACGGTTTATCGCAAAACGAATACTAGCTAAATGTGTAGACCACTGGTTATGTTGTTGGGCAGTTAGGATTGCTAACTGAGTTTTCAAATCCCTATTTTTCCGTTCGACAGGGTTTGCTTCGGGGTGATAAGCCGGTATTAGACTTTGTTTGAATCCTAGAGCATAGGTCACTAGCTGTAATACATCGCTTACAAATTGTGGTCCATTGCCGCTTATAACACGACATGGTGTTCCATATCGTAAGATTATTTCATTGATAAGGCATCGAGCACAGGCTTCGGCGGTGGCTTGTTCTAGAGCAAAAAGTTCAACCCATCGAGAACATGTATCTTCTATGACGAAAATCCACTGTTCACCGTTTTCTGTCGTCGATAGTGGTCCAAAGAGGTCAATGGCGATTACTTCAAATCGGCGATTTTGTACCGGTGTTTGTAATAAACCAGCATTCTTTTGATTTCTCGGCTTAAATCTCTGACACTCAATACAGGTCTTGACATGAGTTTCAATGTCACGTCTCATGTTCGTCCAGTAATAGCGTTTTTTTATCTTTTGATAAGTCTTTTCGAAACCATAATGTCCAAGATTTTCTTAACATCTGCAGTTGGTACTACTTGTACAGCGTCTTCTTCATCTGAGTCCGGTGTATAACGGTACAACACTCCATTCAACAGCAAGAATCCGCTTTCGGTAACTTGTTTAGTTGCAACAGGATCATCTGTATTTTCTAAGTTATGGATGATGGTTGTAAGGATCGAATCTTCTAATTGCTTGTGTCGAAGTTCATTGTAATTAGTTGTAGGCAAATCAATGATGGTCGTCAAGTAAGCTTCAACATTTGGTTCATGAGAGTAAGCCAGTCTGGAGAGCGTATCTGCTAATGTATTTGATTTTCCAGGAGTATAATCTATCTGTATATCATAACTTTGCAGTTTAAGTGCCCATCTGGCGAGACGACATGCGCCAGTTCCGTCCAAAGGGGGAGGTTGTAACGAATATATGATTGCCGCGTCATCTAGTCCGCGTTGTACGCGTATCCAAGCAGCGTGATGACAGAAAAATATTAAAAAAATAATAATAAGCATCGTGTGAAACGTGTATGCTCTTAATAATATTGCAATATGTTTATGTCTTATTAAATAAACATATTAATTTAAACTCTGTTACATATGTATTTTAAATAATATTATTCTTGATCTCCGTGTGTAAATGGACCTTTAAGAGACGCACGGCTAAACTGAATGTTTCTAGGTCTAGGTGTAGTGTTAGTTCTAGTGCTAGTGTTAGTCTAGTTTTTTTGTTATTCAGCGCTAGATTGTTGTATATTTTTATTGAGCTATAATGTATTTTATAGAAGTTTTACTGTAATATCAAATTATACTGACATGTCGCATTTTATGTGGGACAAAGTAGGTACGCCCTTTTCTATATTGCATCTTAAGTGAAATTCACTGTATAGTTTTTTAGTCTCAATGATATACTAAGGCTTATATACGTGGCTACAGCTGGTAATGAAATATACAAGAAGTCATCCAATCTGCCAGGATATATTTCGCATATGTTCAATAATGTGATTCTCTCTAGCACAGTCACACATGGTGTCCAAAGATGGGACCTGACACTGAGCTATTCAGCACTGGGCTTACAGTGTCGTACAAGAGATTAGAGTTAGAAACTTAAAAAGCAGTCCTTCCCTCCATAAGTTGTCTTAGGCTGTTAGTTCCATAAACACGGCACATGTCTTCTCCCGGTTCTGAATACCAGCCTTAATACAGGGTGCTTAAATAATACTGTAAGTCGCGACATAATTTTAATCATAAATATTAGAGTTAAAATGATGATTCGTTTAAAAATTTTTGGTCTAAACCCATAAATACTTAAGAAATGGACCTTCAAAGTTAAAACATTTTTAAATAATTATTTTCAATATGGTTTGTCTTAGAAAGATAAAATTTTGTAAATAATGCAATGTTATCATGAGAAATTGTTTAAGATCACTTTTGAAACTATGCAAGCACCATAATTATGTCCACAAAGGTTATTTCCTTAAAACTTGTTTATTATGTCGTAAACTCTTAAAATTTCCAACTGACTGTAAAAGCCTTAATTCTAAAATTATTTTCACTCTTAGAAATTTTTGATTAGACGCATTATTTTAGAGTTGTAAGTATTAGCATTATTTTGTAGTATTGAAAAGTATGTTTTCTAAACACGCAGCATCAATAGTACATGTTTCCATGATGGTATGACAAAACTGTACTCTCAAAGGATGATCAGCAATTTTTAATTCTTGTACTGC